TTACAGCACCCTGGGGGGGGGGGTTGTCAGGATGTTGCCCCCAAAATCTGGATCCTCATTTTACCAACCTCAGAAGGACAGAAGACTGAGTCAACCTTGAGCTGTCAGTATCAAACTCCTGGCAGTGGGCAGAATTAGTCTGCCATATTACATTCTAAGTACTGTGCCATCACAGATCATACATTATCTTAAATTGGTTTTGGTTCCAAGAGCTATACTTGCTTTCTAGTATTTTCTGGGATTATTAATATTATTTGTCCAAAATTTTCTGAGTGAGCTGACAGAGTTTATTGTTCTAGAAAGGCAGTTAAGGGCGGTGGATATTTTGTTTTGTTCAGTTTTACTTGTCAAACTTGTCAAATCAGGTACCACATATTCTCTTACAAGTGACTTTGAGAAGGACCTTCCAATTTAGGAAAAAATACAGCTGGTGTACAAGAAGAATTTGTGCAGATATCCCTAATCATGGTTACACTTGCTTTTTGAACAAGAGCCTCAAACTCCAGAAACATCCTCAAGCTCTGCCAATCAGCACTAAGATATTTTAACCTTCTTCTTCTAACCTTCTTTCCCTTCATTCTAATCTCTTTGGCTTTAGTAACCTTAGATGTTAAAGTCCTTGAATATTCCAGACAACAATCCAATAGCCATATCACATGACAGGTAACTGTCTTGTTGCTCTGATGGACTACAGGGGAGGCAATATGGCTGGAAAAATCATGACTAGCATCTAGGCAGCAACAGGACTCAGGCTGATACTCAACTCAAATGAACAGGTAGGTTTCAGAAAAAGGAGAGAAAATGAGTCCAGATGGATATCAGAAGGATAATGAGAGCAGTATAATGAGAGAAGTCTAAGCAGGAGGTTAACTTTGTACATTGACTACATAAAAGTTAATGACTATTGATTAAACTAGCATGGGGACCCTACTAAGAGAAATTCAGTCCCAGAACATCTAATTATTTTTTCTGAGGAAATTTTGCAGTGATAAGAAGCTACTGTAAGAAACAAATTTAGAGAAACGAGTAATTCAGAATTGAGTAAGTGAGGCAAGGACACGTTTGTTCCCATATCTGTTGGATATATCAAATGAATATATTTTAAGAATGAAGGCTGAAACACTAAAAATATCCAATATAAATATGATACCATCATCATTTTGATACCATCGACCATGGTATCATGCTGCACCGGTTGGAAGAGTTGGGGATGGGGGGCACCGTGTTACGGTGGTTCTCCTCCTTTCTCTCCGACTGGTCGCAGTTTGTGTTGACAGGGGGGCAGAGGTCAACCTCGAGGCCTCTCATCTGTGGAGTGCCGCAAGGGTCGGTCCTCTCGCCCCTTCTGTTCAACATTTATGTGAAGCCGCTGGGCGAGATCATCCGTGGCTTTGGGGTGAGATACCATCAGTACGCTGATGACACCCAGCTGTACATCTCCACCCCAGGCCACCCCAGCGATGCCCTTGAAGTGATGGCCCAGTGCCTGGAGGCTGTACGGATCTGGATGGGGAGAAACAAGCTCAAGCTCAACCCTTCCAAGACTGAGTGGCTGTGGTTCCCGGCATCCCGATATAGTCAGCTGACTCCATCGCTGACTATCGGGGGCAAGTCTTTGGCCCCCCTGGAGAGGGCGCGCAATCTGGGTGTCCTCCTGGATATGCAGCTGTCCTTGGAGGAACATCTGACGGCTGTTGCCAGGGGGACCTTTTGTCAGGTTCGCCTGATTCGCCAGTTGCGCCCCTTTCTTGATCGGGATTCCGTGCGCACAGTCACTCATGCCCTCGTCACCTCTCGCCTGGACTACTGCAACACTCTCTACATCGGGCTCCCCTTGAGGAGCACCCGGAGGCTCCAACTGGTCCAGAATGCGGCCGCGCAGGTAATTATGGGAGCTGCATGGCGCTCCCGCATAACACAGCTCCTGCGCGAGCTGCACTGGCTCCCAGTGGTCTTCCGGGTGTGCTTGAAGGTGTTGGTTACCACCTTTAAAGCGCTCCATGGCATAGGACCTAGTTATCTTCGAGACCGCCTTCTGCCACCGACGACCTCCCATCGACCCGTGCGCTCCCACAGAGAGGGCCTCCTCGGGGTGCCATCAGCCAAGCAATGCAGGCTGGTGACCCCCAGGGGCAGGGCCTTCTCTGTGGGGGCTCCCACCCTCTGGAATCAGCTGCCCCCAGAGATAAGGAGAATCCAAGACCTCCGTGCCTTCCACCGTGCCCTTAAAACTTACCTTTTCCAACAAGCTGGGCTGGCCTAACAAATCCTTTAAATGATTTTAAATTTGTTTGTCTTTTTAAATTTTGGGGCAAATTGAGATATTTCCTTTCAATCTGTTCTTAATGTATTTATTATGTGTTTTTATTTGGCTGTACACCGCCCTGAGTCCCTAGGGAGAAGGGCGGTATATAAATTTGAAGTAAATAAAATAAATAAAAAATAAATACTATTTTATTTGTTTAACTCCATTTTGAAACAGCTTGATTCCTTAATGATTTCTATGAAATTAATGAATCAGCCATCAAATCTTCCAACATATTGCCCAATCTAAATTATTCTTGATTCTATGAATTTAGTTGAGAGTTTAGGGGGTAGAGAGATAAAATGCTGATGACATCTTTCTCATTTAATATAGAGCAGTGTTTCTTAAATTGTATAAGGACCCCTGAGGATCCCCCAAGACCCTCTCAGGGGTCTGCAAAATCAAAATTATTTGTCAGCTATTGCAGATATTTTTTAAAATGTAAAAACAATGTCATTTTTCTCATTATTTCTTATTTTTAAAAATATAAATTATTTTTCATGAAAATATTTTATTAATGTGAATATTTAATGGTTTAATACAACTATTTTTGCATGATGCAATATATTTCTACAAAAGTGTCAATTTTATCAATATCACAAATATCAATAAATAAAACTCTACAACAATAGCTGTTTTGGAGTTCTCCATAATTTTTAAAGAAAGCCAGTTAGGTGTAGTGTTTAAGACAACAAGCTAGAAACTTCAAGACTGTAAGTTCTAGATCTCCTTTAGGCACAAAGCCAGATGGGTATCTTTAAGCCAGTCACTCTCTCAGCCTTAGGAAGCAGGCAATGGTAAACCATTTCTGAAAAAAACCAAGGAAACAGTTGTCTAGGTCAGGGGTCCCCAACCTTTTGGACCTCAGAGACCACCAAGTTCATAATTTTAAATCCTGCAGACCACTAATACAAATCCAGTGCGCTGCTTGCTGAAGCGCCTGGACTCCCAGTGATGGGATAGGGTCCTTCAGGCACTCTCCCTCCTCTCTCTCCCTCTTTCACTCTCATTTTCTCTCTCTCTTTCTCTCTCTCTCCCCATTTCTCTCCCACTCATTCTCTCTGATTCCCTGTCTCTTTCTCTCTTTCTTTCATTCTCTCTTTCATTCTGTCTCTCTCATTCTGTCTTTCTTTCATTCTGTCTCTTTCTTTCATTCTGTCTTTCTTTCATTATCTTTCTCACTCTCTTTCTCTTTCATTCTTTCTCTTTCATTCTGTCTCATTCTGATTCTCTCATTCTGATTCTTTCATTCTGTCTCTGATTCTGTCTTTCTCTCTGATTCTGTCTCTTTCTTTCTCCCCTTTCTTTCACTCTCTTTCTTTCTCTCTCCCTGTCTCTCCCACTTTCTCATTCTTTCATTCTCTCTCTCATTCTCTTTCTCTTTCTTTCTCTCTCTCGTTCTGATTCTCTCTCTGATTCTCTTTCTCTCTCATCTCATGGGCCAGCCAGGGTCTTGGGGCTGAGAAGAAGTCAAGCATCTCCCCGAGAGACTGAGGTGCGCGCGGAGCACCAACAAGGGCCGGAAGAGACGGCCGCGAGATCCAGCAAGAGATGAAGCTTCGCTCCCACTCTGGAGCGAATCTCCATCCCCCCTCCCTTTCCCTTGCCAGGCGAGGAGTGACTGGGAAGAGAGGGTGAGGGGTGGGGACAGCCACTGGTGGGTTCAGCCGACAGGAAGCTACAGCAGGGGGAAGAAACACCTTGGGGTTGCCGCCACCCGTTGCTTCGGCCCACCTGCACTGCCACCCCCCTTGCACCATTACCTCATTCCAGCCGGCGAGGGCTGCGCTGCCAAGTTACAAATTGCACAAACCTCCCTCTACAGCGGAGATTTACAGCCCCACCATGAGCTGCCCAGCCAGTCCCATATTACAGAGCTCTGGTCACAGGACTGGCCATTGCTCATCCCGGAGCAGCTCCTCCACCCGGGTGTGCCATAGACCACCAAAATTTTCTCGCGGACCACCTGTGGTCCGCGGACCACCTGTTGGTGACCACTGGTCTAGATAGTTGTCAGGACTCATAAAGTGATTTGAAGGTACCAAAATGAATGAATGAATGGTGAGAAGGTGTCCTGAGAACAAAAAGTTTAAGAAACACCAATCTATCTAGAGTCTCCAAACTAATCCAAAAGAAACTTTTTGAAATAAGATATGCTATTTAAAACAAACCTTAAGATTCTGTGCTGTTAGTAGACAGATGAAGTCTAAGTAGTACGGATACTACTTTCACCAGACATTGTGATCTACTGACATACCTGATATAAGGTGGAGCTATTCTAATGGATCAATTAATTAAGATATGACTTTGAAATGCATATTTCCAATAATAATTTTTGTGCTTGAAGTGATAACATTTTTCTTTCATTGCTATTCTGAAATGCATCCAGATAATTTTGGTCATAAGTCTCTATTATGGTTGGAGGGGTCCCAACTTAGAAATTTATCTCAGATAGGAAAAGAATGAAAACTGGGAACTTGCTCGGCCACTTTATCGCATAAAGAACTAATGGTTCTGTCCTGGGACTGGAAAACAGAAGGGCAGCTTATTCTGATCCCATTCATCAACAAAAGTAATTTTGGCCCCATCCATTAGCCAAAGGAATAAATATCACATGTTTGTTAAGAATAGAATAGAATAGAATAGAATAGAATAGAATAGAATAGAATAGAACAGAACAGAACAGAACAGAACAGAACAGAACAGAATTCTTTATTGGCCAAGTGTGATTGGACATACAAGGAATTTGTCTTTGGTGCATATGTTCTCAGTGTACATAAAAAGACAAGATACAGTCATCAAGAATCATAAGGCACAACACTTGACGATAGTCATAGAGTACAAATAAGCAATCAGGAAGTAAGTATCACAATTATTCAATGAAGAACTCCAAAAACAAAAGTCTGGTCTTCCTAAGCTATATATAGTATGAACACTAGCATATTCTTTCCACTTTGAATTAATCATCTGCCTCATCTTCCCTTATTTGTATATTTTTTAAATTGCAAGCATGAGGGCAAGATCTGTTTCTCTTCTGAAACTGATCTGAACTCTTTGAGAAAATTTCAGAAAACTCTTTGAGAAAATTTCAGAAAATCTGCTTCAAATCAAGAGTCTAGACCAGGGGTCAGCAACCTGCGGCTCCAGAGCCGCATGCGGCTCTTTGGGCTCTCTGCAGTGGCTCCCTGTCAGGTGATCCCACCATTGGCTGCAGCGGTGAGTTCTACTTACCTTTACTACTGGTTTGCAATGGGGCCGCACGCGTGTGCTCGTTTCACTCACACGCACACTCTTCTGCGCATGCACAGAAGCGTTCTGATGTTGGGGTCGATGGGCGGAGCCTCCCACTGGTTTTACTACCAGTTCTATAGAACCGGTGCAAACCGGGGGGCAACCCACCACTGATTGGCTGGCCCTGCCCTTCGCCCTCCCCTTCCAGTCACTCCTCACCTGGCCTGAGAAGGTAAGGGCGATGGCGGGGGATGGAGAAGCGGCCAGGGCAGAGACAGAGAGATACAGAGAGAGAGGGGGAGAGAGAGAGAGAGACATAGAAAGAGGGAGAGAGAGGGAGGAAAGGGAGAGAGATATGTCAAAAGGATTTTGTGGTTCCTGGTGTTTTTTAACAACTGATTCTCTGCCCTAATGACCAGCAGGGTAGGCATGGCTAGGGGGGGCATGTGACTGGTGGAAGTGAGTGACATCGAGTTGGCCACACCCACCCAGGTTTTGTGGCTCCCAGTTGTTTTCTTTTCTGTGGGAAACGGGTCCAAATGGTTCTTTCAGTATTTAAGGTTGAAGACCCCTGGCCTAGACAATAAGGAAATATGCAGTAAGTAAATAACAGGCTATAGATAAATTGTAGTAATATGTAACAAAGATTAATTAAAATATATTGTCCAAACACCTGCACGGCAAGCTTTGCCAACATAATCTAAACTAAAATTATCTTCTTTTTACCTGGCAACTATCAACACCTCCAGCTGGAAAGCCAGCACAGACCATATTCAATGTAATTGTTCCACCATACCAGCTGAGTTTATTACATATTTTCTGTGGAATAATATCTACTTGAGCTTCTTGTAATATTAAGTTGCTTTCACCTGTAAAAAATATATAACATATCATGACAGTGTGAAACAAATCAGTCATTATTTAAGACAACTAAGCCTTTCTGATATATTCTACCAAGCTTACATTACACTTAACGCTCTACAAAGTATACTGCTGGTCAAAGTAATCTTCAAGATTCATTCTAGTATTTTGGGAGTTTTGTCTACTTTTGTTTGGCATCCAACGTAGAACCCAAGATTGAACAGAACAGCAAGTGCTGTTAAGATTTTTGTTCTTTTTATTATTTTATTTCTATTCTCATGAATTATTACATTTTAAAGGCTTTGTTGTCCTTTTGTCATTAGTTTGTAATGGTATAGGATTTATTTTTATGAATTCATTTTTGTGCTCAGTTTTACTTGTCAACATGGCTGAGTTCAATAAGGAAGAAACAGGAATCAGTAAAATCAGGGTCAAATCAGTGCTTTAGACTAGATTTTAAAAATATTTTTTTTATTCTTGTTATTATGACATTAAGTATGTTTATTTATTTACTTGTCTCCTGCTTTTTTTTTACACAAAAAAATCAAGGCAGTTAACATACCCAACACAGTGCTATATACTAAAAAGTTTCTATATTTTAATTGGGCTTGACAAGTAATTTTAGGATCTGCTTCAATCCTGAAGTTGTAGGCACAGTTGTCTAAAGGTTAAGTAAGATAATTAAGGATTAAATATTAACTAGCTATTCATTATATGCAATGAAGCTTAAATTATAGTAGGATTTATTTCATGTAAAATTCTAATCCTGATGAAGAAAATATCACTTTAATTTTAAGGATTTCTCAAGGTAATTCTTTTTTGATAGATGCAAAAAAAAAAAAAAAAAAGAACCAAGATCTTGAATACTGTAAAGTAATAGCTGTATCCAAATCTTTAACTGTATACTTTTATTCCTTCGAACCAATTGTCCCTTGAAGTTTAAAATTTTAAAAAAATAAAGTTTAAAAAATACTGCAATCTGCTAAATTAGTGAAACTCCTACTTCCTCTATTTTGGTATTTTTTTTACTAAAACATTTCTGAAATTTCAAAGGAAGTTTTATATGTGTGACGATGATGGTGGTTACATTTTTATCATAAATTAGTTTCAGTATTATTTGCCCTCTCAAAGTTGAGGACCAAACAGCTTTCGGTATATAGGCCAATAAACTCTAAAAAAGCCAGACAAATTATACCGAGAAAAATGAAGTTGGGTTGAGAGAGTTAACAAAAGTAAAGTAATTATGACCAAGCATGTTTATTTGTTGCAGAACGGATGCCTGATGAATGGGGAGAAGGTATGAAATGAAAAACTAAGGAGAAAGGGTGTAATGAAATAAAATGTTTAGAATCATTAATTTAGCTACACCATACTATATTTGCTTCACTGTCATTTTAACAGAAATGCTGCAAATTATATGACAAAAATGTGCTATTCTTGGTGCTAAAGGTAGTTTGCTTGAGTAGCGAATCTTACATTTAATCTTTAGCAGGCTAAACACTAGTGAAATGTTTCAAATGCTGGAAGGTAGAAGTAGCCAGATTCATCAACATTCTAAATAGGTAGTCCTTTTTAGTTTGTAAGATTAAAAAAGCAAATGCTTTGTGGATAGTGCATCTGTTCAGGTTGCTCATACCTAATTAGTAAAATCAGAAGCAGAACTAAATGTAGTCTGGACAGCCAAGTGACTTCATCTAACAGTAAAAAGAGGTGCTACTGATCACTATAGAGCTGAATGGGAAGGGCTATCTTTCAGAGTTCAGCGCCCAGAAAACTTAAGATGTAAGAACCATTTCATATTTTAAGAGTACAGTTAGGGTATCAATTTGGTTTCAATGTAACTGTATGCAACTAACCTCACTGTGTCTAGGTAAAGTCTTCAAGTTGAGTTTGACTCCTGATGTCCACACAATTTTCTTGGCAACAGTACAAAAGTGGTTTCCTACTTCCTTCTTCTTAAGACATCTATTAATTTCCCACTCTAGCCTACAGCACAAGTACTAGTCCATGAAAATCTTTCATTTGGGTATCTTGCTTAGCTTCTGAGCTCAGACAATGTTGTCATTTGCTGAAGCTCTCACCATATTATCTATTCCAAAATCCTGTATGAGAGAGGACACTGAATTAAGTAAACTGTAATTCGCAGAGCAGTTGAGTAGATGGCAGCACTAGTTAACCTAATGAGAGTCAGTTTGGTATACAGATACTGTAGTTCTAAAGTTACAAAGGGAATTGGGTCCATAATTTCCATCACTAAGCAATCCAGCACGACCACATTGCTTAGAAAGAGCAATCTCTTCAGTTCCTCTTGCAGCTGTTAAGCCAGGACCATGAATTAAGTCAATATGTAATTTTGATTCCTTGTAATTTCCTGCCGGCTTCCAACAACAAAAGTTAGTGGGGAAGCCAGCAGGAAGTTGCTAGACCCAGACAGGTTGCCAACAGGCTGCCAGGCAGGTAACTGGCTGCTGCTGGGTGGAAGAGAGAATGAGGGGTGAACAGTTGCAACCCTCTTAAATTCAAGCCAGTAGCCAAGCATCCAGATTGTAATCACATGACTACTGGAGTGCTAGGACAGCCGTAACCTTTAAACCAAGTTGTAACTATCACTTGTTCAGCGCCATTGTAACTTCAACTTCAAACAGTTGCTGAACAAATTAACCAAGGACTTACCTGTAGTAGTTATTGTGCTGGCCTAAAAAATAGGCAATGGCAAACTACTGCTCTACTGCTGCAAAGAAAGTTGCATGATTTTATTTGTAAGTCACAGGAGTTAAAACTGAAATTGAAGGGGGCTTTTTCAGTTCAGGCAGAGGGAATGTCCTCCAAATCCAATCTGCTGTTAATAGAGTTCCTCTCTGCCCTTTCCCTGTACTGGTTACCTTGTTCAACATTTGGGAGGAGAGGATGAAAAAAGGGGATGGGCAGCAAAAGTTGCTTCTACATGTTTAGCTGCTTGCATATAAATCCAGATTCAAGACCTCTTAGATATAGAAGGCCCAGTGCCAAAATAAAAATAGTCCTTTTGTGCCCTATATTTGTAAAAACCTAATTTCATTATCTGAGATTTTCAGCATTCTCTGAAATATAAATCCAGTCTAGTTTTCTTACAAACATGTGAAATGCCATGAAGTGTATAGTAAGCGCAAAAATATTCTTAACACTTTAAAAGAGAATCAAAAGTATTATGAATACAGTGGAACATGTTTACTTTTATTGTATGTTAGTTTTAACTGATTGCTTTTGTTGCACAGTAATTTTTAATCTGATGTTTGTATATTGTCTTTATACAAATGTCACAGAAATAATAGAAAAGTACCTTTTTCCTTTGTTTTACCCCATCCAGATATGTAACAGGGATACTGTTGATTTTTCAAAAGATTTGTGGCAGGTAAGCAGATCGGGTGAACATAGTCATTGAATCTGATAGATCTGACTAGTATTATCAAGGCAATGTCATTGTCATATGTGTCTGCCACATAATTAGGATGTATATTGATAGCTTTAATCCGACGTTTTATTGTATGAGAGTTGTCTTCATTAAGATTATGCAAGCCAATTACAGCCCTCCAAATGGCTGGGTTCCTAGGACAGAACAAAACTTTTATAGGGATTATTGTTCTTATTATTACATTGCTATTTTATAACTTCCATGACATGGACATTGTTTTTTTTTATTCTATTCAGAGTAAACAATAAATCAGTAAGTACAGATCCTGATTAAAATTGGATTATGTGGCTAAAACAAGGATCACTGCAAAAAATAACAGAAGCACTAATAAAAGAAAGTATTCTTTCTCTACACATACATATATACTATCACTCCACTCAATTACGTATCCTCCTTCCCATAGTAACTACTGCTCAGATGCTTATGGAAAATCTACATATGTCTCTCTGGTGGTAGCATATATTCAGCATTACTTATAGCCAATGAAAGTATTTTCCAATCTAGTCCCTTTTTAAAGTCTTCAAGTAAATAAATCATTCTGACAAACCTTAAAATGTTCTGTATAGTTTCAATTTTATTCAGTTTCTATATCAAAACTAATCAAATCATTAATATGGACATAGACCAGGTTTAATCAGTTTGTGTCACAAGTATTTACAAGTAATGCTAGTACCCAAATTAGTGTCCTTTCCAGTATTTTAAATGTTTAATTATAGGCTGACACGTTGCAAGGTAAAGAACAAAATGTTATTTTAAGATCAAAGTGTTGTTGAACTCAATTTGGCTGCACAAAATGTACTGTTTGAATCATCCCAGAAGAAAGACAAGCTGAGACTGGCACGGAGAATCCTGTAGCAGAAGTAATGGTGATAGGGAAAATGTTTTGATTGTGAAGGTGGGGATGGAGAATGAGATGTCTCCTTTATTTCTTTTCTGCATTTTGTTATACATTGTTCTGGTGTGCTGGGATATATGGTTTATCTGTAGGTGGAATAGACAAGTATTTTTCCTGTCAGTATTTCTCTGGACATCATGTTTGTCTTCTGTGAAATACCTGTTTCTCTGTATGGCCATATAAATTTAAAAAATAAATAATACACATAAAAGCAACTTTTGAGTGTCCTCATGAATCACAAGTTAATCATAAACTAGCAGTGTGATGCAGTCTGTCAAAAAGTAAATGATACCTTGGAGCAGACTTTAGAACATTGACAATATTTGCTTCACTCTACTGTTCTAAGAATTTATCTGGAATACTGGAATGCTACTGTTCAAAGGCCAATTGGAGCAAATTCCAAATTGGGAATTTGTTCCAATTTGTCTAAATTGGAGCAAATTCAGAAGAAGGCCACCAATATGGTGAAAGGTCTGGAAACCAAGCCCTATGATGAATGGCTGTAGGATCTAAATATGTTTAACATACAGAAAAATGATTGAGCATTTATTAACTCTACAAGCCATGAGATCAAGCTGCCACATCTGTAAGTTTTTCTTTTTTAGAGATCTTCAAACAGAGGCCAGATGGTTATCCAACAAAGATGCTCTAGTGCAGGGTATCAAACTCAAGGCCCGGATCTGGCCCACGGGGTGCTTAGATCTGGCCTGAGGGCAGGGCCGGATTTAGATGAAAAGAGGCCCTAGGCTATTGCACTTATGAGGCCCTTTCACCTATAGTGAAAGTGTAATTTTAATTTTAATTTTGCTAACAATTTGAATGTAGGCCCCTCTTGATCTTGAGGCCCTAGGCTGAAGCCTAGTTAGCTTATAGGAAAATCTGGCCCTGCCTGAGGGACTGCCCTGGAAACAGCAAAGGATTGGCCCGTGGTGCCTCTGCCAGCAAAAATGGAGCTCTGTTTTCAGAGGGTTGCAGGAGGCCGTCGCAGCTGAAAAAAAGAGCTCTGGAGCCCATTTTCGCTGGCAAAGTGCTTGGGCCATCACAGCCACCCCCGACACAAATGATGTCAAGCTGGTCACGCCCCCCCCCCCCCCCCGCAAAAAGGTCAAACACAACCCTGCTGCTGCCCTCAATGAAATTGAGTTTGACACTCCTGCTCTAGTGGATTTTGAATTCAGCAGGGGCTTGGTTTAGGTGACCCCAAATATCCTTCCAACTCTTAATGCTGAAACTGTGTTATCCATGCACCCTTCAGCTAGCTGAAAAATAATGTATGTATGTAGGCATGGATCCATCCATCAGATTTGGAAAACAATAGCGGGGAAGTGAGTAGAGAAGACAGCATGGCGAGCCTATTGTTTTTCTCACAGCCCAGCTTTTTGATAATTTTTGTCATTTATGTTTTATTAATATTTGACTAATTGCCCATATTAACAGTAAAAAGATGTCTTAAGAAAGGTAATCTCTGAAATGGTGAAGAATTAAGTCTTAAATAGATCACTAAGGCAACTCAAATGACATCCCACTCTGGCAGTGAAAAAGAGATGAGGGAGAATGAATAATCCCTGTCAGTGGTCTGAAGGCTGAGTACTGCTCAAGAAGCTTTGAGGATGATTTAACAGGAAATACAATTAAGAAACTTAAATAAGAAATTGGATAAATGAGACATTTGGATTTGAAAGGATTTGCCATGCTTGAACAAATAAACAACTAAAATATTTGTCTTCTCAAGATTTGAAGATCCACAAATAGCTAACAAACTATAAGCTGTCATCATGGAAAATGAGTTTAATTATTGGAAAAGTCCAGAAAATGTTACTAACATTAACTGGATTTGGCTAATATACAGAATTATTAACAGATGATATTTTCTGAGAATTAATAGGAATCAGGGAAAATGTAGAAAGGGCTAATTTAATTGGATATTTAAAACTTAAAATAATAAGTATTGCATTTCATATGCAATGTGTCAATAGAGATTCTTGTCTTAAGTTCAATCAATTGCAAAAGCCAAGAGATAATATATTGGTAAAAAAAAATCAGGTGGAAAAAGAAAATTTAGCAAAAAGCCCATGGACTAAAAAAATAAACTGGAATGGAAATCAAGTGTTGTATTTCAAGATACTAGCTCTGCCATTATTAAAAAGAGGAATAAGATATAAAGGAAGAGACATTGTTTCTAGGCTCTCAAAAATAAACAAAGAACAAATCATCTAATAAACATAAATATGTCATGAAGAATAAAGAACCACCTGTAATGTTTAAACAACTGATACTACTTATGAGAAGATAATACAATGAGATTCTTTAACATTCAGAACTCATAAGATGGCAGCTAATTGTAACATAAATGATGTTTCAATATATTGGGAAATACTAAGAACAGCAAAGTATTATTTAGACATTATTTAGACATAAGATTAGCAGCAAAGGGAGGAGTTGGAACTCAGTGTAGCACTCCCCTAGAGACTTGTTGGCAGGTGTAATTAACTCAGTTCATATGTAGTCTAAACAGATTGGAAGGGTAAGGCTAGTAAGAGTAAATGGAAAAGAAAACTGGAGTGGTCTGTGGAAAAGGTATAGGAGGCACAAAAGGATAGCTAGACAAAAATATTTTCACGAATATAATGACAAATGTATTGGTAGGATAGCTGAGATTTCACTGTTAGTAAATTTGTTTTGCAGGAATGGTAAACCACACCACAGTAGAAATATAATACAAGTAGTCCTCAAGTTACGATGACAATTGGAACTGGAATTTCCATTGTAAACTGATGCAATCATAAACTGTAACATCATGTGACTGCATTGGACAGAAATTCCTACAGTCCCCAGTGCCATTGTTAAGTGAATATCCTGGGATTTTAAGTGAGCACCACCTCACAACTTTCTATTAATTTCCAATGAAGTCAGTGGGGAACCCAGTAGGAAGTTGCAAATTCCAGGCAGTTTGCAAGAAGGCTGGCACACATGTGACTGCTATAGGATGAGAAGATACAAGAGGGTGGAGAGGCAAGAACAGAGGCCTTAGAGAGGATGTGCAAGCTATTGGGACATATACATATACCTCCTTGAGAGGAGGTGATCACTTAACAACTAAGGTGATGGTCACCAATTTAGATTATTTAAAGAAGAGAATGGACAAATTCAAAAAGAATCAGACTAACAAAGGCTACTAATCTTAGTACATATTTACTATCTCCAACTTGCAATAGTGAAGGAGGAATATTAGTGATTCAGCTTCTCAAAGTCATGTTTGGCTACTATGTAATAAAGATGTTTGCTTGATGATCTCATGGCCTGAGCAAGCAGATTTCTTCCTTTCATTGCTGTCCAGCAGAGTTGCTAGAGGAAGTGAAAACCAGACATTTTAAATGAAGAAATTAGATGAGCCATCTAAAACTGGTAAGTTAAATCATGGACTAACAAAGGAGTTAATTGGAGGAAAGAGAAAAATTTAAAAATTGAATATAATAATATATAATCAAGCAGAGATAAGTACTATTAAGGAGAAATGGTGCAAAACAATTTTAAATTTTTTTCCCTCTTATCTTATTCTTGCACACAACTATTTATCATTAAAACAATTAGGTCTGGTCCTGGTAGCTCCGAATATGAGTCTTTTATTACTCTAGGATTGGATATGAAAAAGCTTCAGGGCAAATAATTAAACAAATCAGTTGAAAGCACTAAAATTTGTCCCTAGACTATCTGTGTGATCCTTGACAAATATTCTCCTTTATTAGATCCTTGACAAATAATATGAAGCTACACCTGGTTCAAAATTCAATTCGTATAAGCTAGGAAAGGCATGTTAAATCTCAATTTTTCATACATAATTATATAATATTTGGTCCAAACTTCTTTGGTCAGTAGATTTATCACACCTAAATTGAAGAAAAAGTATTAGAATGGAGAGATACATACTCTGATGTTTTAATGCAGTGTGCTGCTGTCAACACTATGATTTTATTAATTAAAGATCCACCACATATATGGACATATCCTAGACCAATTGCATAAACTTGAAGACTAACTTGCCAAGGCCATGCTCCTAGCATAGCATCATGTCCACCTACAATGCGAGTTCCTGCCGCTGTGTTTTTCATAAGAGGCCTTGTTCCACAGACTAGAAATCAAAGAAAAATAGGTAAGACATGTAAGAAACGGCATTCACGTAGCAACAATATATTTAAAACATATTTTTTTTGCAAAACCATATTTTATAAGAAAGATGAAACAAGAGTGAAAGATTTGTGGAACTGAATCACTCCCATTTAGGTTGTATGACTAGACCATATATTTACTAGTCAATTTTATCTTAGCCTACTTGTACAAAGTCAGCCTCTGTAGTTAATTTATGGTTGAATGTATTGCACATGAAAAAATACACCAGAATTAACAGGATGGTGAAATGTAGCTGAAAACAAACTACATAGCACATAAATATTCAGATTTAGTTCCATCAGGTATAGCAGAGACCTTCAAACTTGGCAGCTTTCCGACTTGTGGACTTCAACTCCCAGAATTCTCCAGCCAGCTATGCTTGTTTAAAGACCTCTGAGGTATAGGATCTTTACCCGTGTTCCAATACATGGGTAAATGAGGCATAACATCTAAATAATGATCCCAAATTGCATTCAATTTAAAGATTCACAATTTGGTATGTAAATTACAACTTTGGCTTCACTGTTCTTTCTTCTGTTACTACCGATAGTCCCTAAACTTTAATTTCTTTTATTTCCAAACTTCCGAGTTTCCCATTCCAGTTGCGATGGCGTAATTACAATCATTTCCCCAAGAGCTGGGAACAGGTAAATTATAACTATTTGTTTTCGAGTAGATCCTAGCACAAAAATTCAGGGGTACGGGCACTCTGGGCCCTTATATTGAGGACCGGATTTCAATGAAACGTATCGACAATTGTGGAAACGGCAGCATCCACGGCCGGATAACCCTTATTTCCTTGGCTCATTTCAAAAGTAAAGGAGAGGTTCACACACTCACAACCTAATTGCTGTACCATCGACATCAGTACCAACAACAGATTTACGGGCCGAGAGATAAAGAAAGTAACTGGGAAAACAGCTGGGCCCTTATATTCGGGACTGGATCTCAATGAAACGCATCGACAATTGTGGAAACGGCAGCATCCACGCCTAGTAACTCTTGCTCACTTCAAAAGTTAAAGGAGGAGAGGTTCACACGCCCACGACCTAATTGCTGTACCGTCGAGAAAGTTCGTAGGGAAGGAAACCTCCGCATTGTCGGAACGCAACTTTGCGCAGACATCCTCGCGGACTAGTCACCGAGAGCGAAGGCCTGAGGCAACCCCCACTTTCGCCCCTATTTATGCAATCGCCGATGGGCCTTTCGAAAGCCGCCACTGTCGCAAAAATAGCAGGAGGGTAGCCCGGGGGAAGCCCCCTTTTCGGGAACGCTCGCAACCTCTCCCGCCGAGGAGACGTTTCCGACAACGGCCTTGGCCCTTGCGCGCCCTCGGCGAAGGATTCCCGCGCGCTCCGGTGACAGTCCCCCCCCCCGCCCCTCGATCTATTAGGCTACCCAGTCCTGAGTAGCACGTTGGCAGTCAACGGCCGAGCTCGACGGCCTGCGAGGACGGGGCGAGGCCAAGGCTCACCGTCGGAAAGATTCAGGGGGGGCAGGGCTTTGGGCGCGGCTTCCCTGAACAGCACAAGCAAAGCCCAAAAGGAAAAGGCGACGGGGCAAAAATTGCGGCTCATCGTCCGTCCAGGGAGCAAAATGGCGGCCGACTTCGCGTGCGTTCTCCTTCAGGCGGGGCCCGCTAAGGGTCAGGCGACAAGCGGCGCGAGAGCCGTGTTTCTCTTAGCGGCGAGCCCCTGGTTAAGGCGCTACCCGGAGGCATGTATGGCCAACGAGAGGGGGAAGTGGAGACTTGCTTTCCAAGCGGTCTCTGAACCCACTCGACTGAAATAACCGCTGGCTGAACCGGGGGCCCTCCTCACCACCATAATGCCCCCCTTTGGCTACTCTCATCCTGACTGGTAGACTCCGCCTGCTTACCTTCCAAAATAATGGGGGATGCAGCCTTAGATCTTCAATGAGGCTGCTCCTGTGAGATATATTATGGTTTATGGTGGGAATGTCGTGAGCAGCTTCCTCATGTAATCTGGAGATATTCCTAGACAGGTATTTCTTGGGTTCTGTGTTTTGTGTTGTGTTGTCTGTATAGTCTTTAACTTCATTTACCTAAGCTGTATAGTTAATCTTCTCAAAGTACTGTATTTCCACTTTACAGGAATGGCATGTAAACCCTGTAAATAAGCAGTTTTATTAGAACTGTTAACAGAAATTTTGAGTAGTTTGGAGAACTGGCAAATACCACCTCTGGCTGGTCCCCAGTGGGATGGGAATGGACATTTTGCAATATCCTTCCCCAGGAATGGGGAGGGAATGGGGATTTTGTAGTATCCTTCCCTTGCCATGTCCACAGAACCAGTAGTAAAAAAAATTGAATTTCACCACTGTATTGTACTATGTATTGTAGGAAGTTAGCACCCACCCCTTTCCTGGAAGAGTGAAATATTTTAGGAAATATGAAAAAGGCAGAATATTATATTTCCCTGGATGAGAAATGGAGAAGCATATTTTACAGACAAAGCAGCTCCCACCTTCCTGCCCCCCACCCTTTGTCAATGGGCCATTAAGGCCTGGGCCAGTCTATTCTACATAACAAAGATCTGCCTCCTTCAGGCAGACCCATAGTAGGAATTGCCAAAGATCCAACAAAGATAGGATTAGCCCTCTACACAATAGCAGCAGAAATTCACCACATGGACCTGGGAAGCACATGTGACCATCGGCTAGCTAAGACCCCCACCCCCTGGGAGTCTGACAACCAATCAGGATACTCTTTCGGGGCCCCAAGAAATGCAGAGCCAGAGAGAGCATAAAAACCCAAGGATTTACTGTATCTGCCCTTTTCTGTTCAGGAACTCAAGCCATGTGATCCTGTCCACCATTAAACCATCTTTCCAAGCAGTCTCCATGTCTCCAGTGTCTTTTCCCCCATTTGGAGCAGAACCTAGAAGGAGATTTCTTCCAACAGTATCAATTACAGTTTCTGGGTAGACTTCAAGGGCAATTCTAAGTGCATTGCAGTAATTAAATGTAGAAGTAATAAGGCCATGGAGATATTGTTGTCAAATCTTTTTGCCTAAAAACTGCACTAGGTATAACAAGACAAAGACATTCCTCATCATAATTTCCATATGGATGCCTCCCAAGACTAGTAAGGAGGTCAGTCAACAACAATCTTGTTGCTACATAAACAGCACTTTTTTCTTGGGATTCTGTTTAACTTGTCTGTTTTATCCAATCCTTTACAGTCTCCAAGTATTGCTAAGAACCTCTATGACATTCACCTCTGAGTACTTATACTGTATGTGTGAATGTGGAGAGACACAGAGCCTAATCTATCTACTGGTATGTCAGCTACTACTAGAAACACGTACCAATAATGACCTTTTTTGGGCCAATGACAAAACCAGGAAGGTGGCTTCATTCTGACAGTTTAAAGTTTGACCTAGACACAGAAGAAGATGACATGTATACTTTGATATCGTTATTGTAACTGACCTATTTTACAAACATTTTGTGTTACAACGGATGGGCAGGCTCCATTATGGTTGTAACTCAAGGATTACCTGTACTCCAAAGTCTTCCTTTTTCTCTTTTTGAAAAAAATGGAGATGGGATGAAAGTATCCTAACAATGCATCAAGAATTGGTTCTTCAAGCATCACTTCAAGGCATCAGGTGCAATTTTACCCCGAAAGAGGAATTTACTTTTTCAAAAACCTACCCCATTCAGCCTCTTACCCCATTCTCCATTTTTTCCTCGTGCTAATAAGAATATGGGCTATATCAGGGCTGTAAAACTCCATGGGCCGGATGCATCACACACTGGCCACACCCATACCCAGTTTAGCGAAGGAGAAAAAAGTCCCGATACATCACATGACGATGCCAGTTTGACACCCCTGGTCTATATCCTCAAGAGTCATCAAGATTGAAAGAATACTAGGTAAAATTAATGTGTGATAATTTGTATAACTGCAGACTAGTATAATCACAGATTATGATTACTGATAATGATTTCATGTATCGGGACATGTTTCTTATTCTAGATATTAATCAAAAACAACTTTTCAACAAAATGTGTATTAATGAATTTAAGATGTGACCGTTTTATATATTCTCTTTCATAAAAATGTATTTTGTTCTAATGAAAATGTTATACATATATTGCCAAGAAGGTCAAGCAGAACAATTAAGATCAAACTTTCACATATTTATATTTCTAGTTCAAACACTATATACACATACACAGAGAAAGAGGTATTAAGCTGTATACTTTATAGTAAAAGTTAATTTTAGAAGATAAATCAGGAAAAACCTGGAAGATACATCCATCCATGATCTAATGCAATGAGCTTCTGTCAATACTGTGATGTTATTAATTAAAGATCCACCACATACATGACTGACTGTATACTGAGGGAAATTCATAGATCTGAAAGCTAATTTGCCATGGCCAAGTCCCAGGTAGAGCATCATGTCCACCTATAATCCGAGACTCAGTCACTATCTCAGTTTCAAGAGGTCTTTTTCCACATTCTAGAAATAAAAAAGTGATGCTGGTAAAATGCATACCTCATAAAACATATCCTGTGTTCAACAGCATCATTTGAATTTGAAGTATCATTTGAAGCTAACTAGCATTATTTTAAATACTCAGTTTCTTGTAGCACTTCTGTTATGAGACTAATTTCCACCATAGGTATCAGAAGTTGATCACCAATTATGCTCGCTCGTGTCCTTGTAATCTCTCATCTGGACTACTGCAGTGCAATCTACATGGGGTTGCCCTTGAAGAGCATTCAGAAGCTTCAACTAGTACAGCATGCAATTGCATGGGTATTAAAACGTGTCGGTTAGTTGTCACACATACCACTGCCTTGTGAGCTGGATTAGTTGCAAGTGTGTTTCTGGGTGCAATTCAAGGTATTGGCTATCATCTTTAAAGCCCTTCCTGACTGGGTGTGTGTGTTACCTTAGGAACCATCTTCTTCCAGTTGCTTCTACCTGTCCAGCTAAGCCAGGCAAGTTGTACATCCTGTCGGTCTTGGCAGCCAAGAAATGTCAGCTGACAGAAACCATAGGCTCTTCCCTCTGGAATATTTTTCCTTTAGATATCAGGATAAGCCCAACACCATTGGCCTTTGCAAGAATGTGAAGACTTGATTGTGTGTCTGGGCCTGGGGCTTTTTAGTTTGTTAAGGGCTCTGTTTCCTGGCTGTATTAATATCCATCATAATTTTACTTGGTACCATATATATTTATTTTGTAATGCTTTAATAGTATTAAATTGTTTTTAAGCTTTATAAGGGGAGCTTACTAAGATTTATTCATTTATTTGGCTTAAATGCCACTGCAATTAATAGTAAGCACCTTGCATACCCACTTTTTTTTAAAAAAATAAGGTTGAAAATAACCATTAGAGATAAATTAAAAAAGCAAACAGCTCACAAAATTTCCACCCCAAGGCCATTGGGAAAAAAACAATGGTTTTTCTTAATGGCTTTTCTAAAACTGGCAGAGTAGATAAAAAATGCCTTCCTCCAAAATCCCTGATGATCCCTGAGAGAAGTACTTGAGAACCCCTTTGGTATGTACTTATTCCTCCCAGACCTGTACCTAACTTCTCCCTTTGTTCTAAAAAAAAATCAAACTATTTTGTATGTAGCTGCACAGAAAGTTTTTGAGGATAATTTTCCTGCCATGCATGCTTCACTTGCAGAGATTCTTCTTCAGACACAATGTATGTTCCTATCTGTAAAGCAAGCTGCCATGTTTATGAATGCCATGTCTTTGAATGCTAAGTGACATTACAACAGTTCATGATGCATGATAACAGATGTCCTAAGAAACATCTGAGTTTGCTTTAGGACCAAAATGCCATCACATGCTGTGGTTAGTGCTGCTTGCCAGGCAGTAAGATGCTCCCACCAATAGAGATTCTCGAGATAAATTTGCCTCATTCTCCAAAGAAATCACAGGGAGGACTCTGTAGAACCATACTCAGCCCCTTCGCCTGGTTGCATTTGCAATCTTCTCCCCAATGAAGAACTGTGTGACTGAGAAAACCTTTGCTGCCCACTACCTAATGCTAACCATCTTGGGCATTGTGGTGGCACTTAAAATATTTGGGATTTTACCTAGAAAAGGCTTGGGGGCTTCCAATGGTAAGAAACATCCAACGCCCAGCGAACTGAAGGGGCAAAACCAAGTTGGCAATTGATAAGGTTCAAGCAGAGCCCAGCTTTGGGCTGGGCTTTAATAAATAGCCCAAGGACCCCCCCAAAAGAAAAGGCTGCGACAAGGTTGCAACGCAACATGGCTGGCAGAGGAGACAAGATTGAGGCGGGGGGGGGACATCTTTTTCACATCTCTTTCACCAGAATGTGGTTGTCACATAGTGTGGGAATAAGTGGTGGTGGGCATCCTTTACGGCCACTGATCATCTGCCTCGTAACTTCTTTACACTCTTGTGGATGGTGCAATGTTGTTGCCTGGTGAACTCGGAAGGAACTTTGCCAAGGATAAAGCTGGACAAAGACATCACATTGGAGATTTTTTTCCTCATTTTGGTGATAGGCAATATACATCATTTACAGCTTTCATGAATAGGATTGTGCCTTTACTCTCATTAGCACTTTTGTTTTGCGCACACTGATAGAACTATGAATCTGGGCCACAAAAATTTGGAATACAGTACTAAACAGTGGCAAAATGTTAGAAGTTTCCAATTTTTGCTGTTGTCAATTAGTCACCCTGAATTTTGCCACCCAGATCTAACCAATTTTACTGTTTTTCCTTCATTATATTGTAACTACCTTTGCCACTAGTTTTCTTCCTAATGGCCATCATTTTATATACCCCCTTCATACAGGAAAACAAACTGTAATTACAACAGTAGTATATCCAATTGTAAAGGAAAACTTGATCCGAGTTTTGCTTCTGCCCAACTGTTATGCCTAAATAGACAGACAGACAGGTGGTGGAACGGATGTATGGACAATTTCTTAGGTCTTTTGTCTGATGAATCATAAAATTGATTTTGAAAATGCAGTTATATCACTGTGCTCTTTATGGTTCTCAAAGGTTTTTTTTTTAAGGAAAGAGTTCTCTTTTGGCTTAACATGCTACTATAAATCAGTATTTTTGAACTTTATTATAACATTATATCCCCACTTATAGTTTATTACCAATATAGGTCATGTGCAAAATCTTATTACTTCAATTTACAAGTTTTACTAATGAAGTAGTCCTAATGAACTGCTGCTTAAGAGGCAGAAATTCATGCTGTACAATTTACTAATTGAGAAGAGCTATCAATAATTTTCAATTTTCTGATATTTAAAATTTGTGGCTTTTTTAAAAAAATACTATTATTTTTTTAATACCAGCCAAATCCTTATATGATAGTTACTTAGTTGAGAATTAAAGTAAAATAATACACTGGAATTTCAAGCATACAATCTGTATTCAATTGCAATACATTTTATTATTTTTATAATGACAGTGAATACATGGCAACATTAGGCACTTGTCATATGCATTTCTTTTGCATTTATGTGGAATAAGATAATTTTACAAATTATTAGTTCCATCCTGGAGGGAAAAGTGTTTTCACTAGAGAGATCAGTCTTATTGAAATAGTAAAATATTCTTATATTTTAATCCATTTTATAGTCACAATGAAATTCATAGCTTTTTCCCTGCAATGGCTCCTCTGCCCTGTCCTCTCGCGGCTATATATAACTGATTAAAAAATTTTGTTTCCTTTTTAAAATAACAGTTTAAATACATATTTTCAATTTATTTAGGCTACATTGGTGAAATATTACAAAATGTATGTTAAACATAATATATTCCTTTTCATATTCATCAATATAAATATATTATGTTAAACATAATATATTCATATTGTCAAATGTTAAAAAAATTGCTCTATACATGTTTATAAGAGGAAGCAATATTTAAAAGACCATCTGATATAATGGTCTTATATATAATTTTTCATAGATAAATATGGAATGTTATCCATCTTATAATCGACAATATTAGAACATGATGAATGTTCATAGTAGTAGTTCTGCTTTGTAAAAGAGTGTTCAACCAATTCCTGTAATTAGTTAGACGTACATAGATCCCTGGATTTTGTGGTCGGCCACAACCTCGGCCAAAGCTGGTTATTCCTACCAGATAATATTGTGTGACATCTTGGATATTATTACACATCAATGGTCCACCACTGTCTCCCTAAAAAATGAAGGAATTCATTTGAATGTTGCTTAGAATACACTTACATTTTAAGATTCTGATGGCCTATTTGGACATGAATTGTTAAAATATTTTTTCTAAGAAAATATGGAAAGTTTGAATTAGGCAATCTTGTGAGTCATTTAGAGAGCAGTGTTACAAAATGCACTTAGAACTCAACCCATTTAATTCAATGGGGCTTCCTTTTGGGTAAGTGGTGCAAGATTGCTAAATCACTAAATTTAAATTATTAACATTACTAAATGTCTTCATTGATATTTTGAGCATTCCAGCTCCAGTATAAATATGCTTAATTTAAAAGTCAAGATACACAGCTAGAAATACATAAGAGTATTCATCCTCTGCTAAGTTTTATGATGAACCACTTCAATGTTGAATGTTGAATGTTGAAATGAACCACTTTCAACCTCTATTTCAAAATTGTTTTGTATGGACACAAAGTGGTTGAAATATTCTAAGCAAAGTAAAAAATATTACTTGAAATAAATTTTGATGCCTATTTTCCCACAGAAAGTGTCAACTAATTTTATTTCCTAGATTTGTAAATTTGCTTGCCTAATCAAATAGTACCAATCACGATTTTATGGCAAAAGAATTAAAAATGAAATTATTTCAATTTTACCTGACAACTATCCACAGCTCCACTTTCAGAGCCAGCACAAAACATATTCGTTGTTATAGCTCCACCATACCAATCATATCTGTTACAGATACTTTGTGGAATAATATCAACCTTTGCTTCTTGTAATATATATTGTTTTTCACCTTTAATGAAAAAATAAAAAGTAATGCTACAAGTATACTTATACTTTTTAAAAAGAAGTATAACTCAATAAGCAAAACTGCTGCCTCCTGACAGCTATTTACTTTCTGAATAGCAGCCATGTTTTTAAAGACAAAAATGAATTTTGTTTTAAAGATTTATCCATAATGATGTATATGTATTTGGGAGGGAAGGCATATATTTTTATACAATGTGTCATTATAGAAATTAGTAAGAGTTTTTATTTTATTGAGAACTACATGATTGATGTGAAGTAAATATATGGTACTCTGCTAATATACAGTATTATGACCTGCAGTCACAATAAATCTATTTATTTATTAATCCTATGCAAAGGAGTTGTGGATTTTTTTCATGAGTGAATTTTTGAAGCAAAATACTACTTTATTCTTATTACGTCAGTATGGAGAAATGTGCACACTATTTACAACAGAGGTTAGAATATCAAGATCAGAAGTTTCCAGAGTGATTGGTAGAATGTCAGCACATGTCTGGCAAGGTTGAAAAAGTTCATGAAACAAGATGTGTGGGGAGCGGAATATTTTAATTGAAAGCACGTGATGATAAAGGTGATTGTTTTGTTCTCTGTTATGTGAACTTAAACTATATGCAGTTTTTTCTGTGACAAGGTTTACATGATTTTGTCAAAATCCTTTTCTCTCATAACAATGGCAGACAATTTTATCTATATGGATGCAATTACTGTATACCAACACATTGTTCTTTGTCCTTGCTTTGAACTGATTTTCCTTCTCCAATAGTGATTATTTCTTGATTCCTGTTCTTATTTGAGACATGAAAATACCAATAGCAATAGCAGCAATAGCACTTAGACTTGTATAACCTCTTCATAGTGTTTTGCAGCCCTCTAAGCGGTTTACAGAGTCAGCATATTGCCCCCAACAATCTGGGTCCTCATTTTTACCGACCTCAGAAGGATGGAAGGCTGAGTCAACCTTGAGCCTGGTGAGATTCGATCTGCCAAACTGCTGGCAGCCAGTGATCAGCGGAAGTAGTCTGCAGTACTGCATTCTAACCACTGCACCACCAAAGTACAACTCCTCAGTCAAAATATTTTGCTTAAGAGCAAGAAAAATATACACTTTCATTTTTCAAAAAAATCAGCATTGTTTATTGCTTATTATCATGAAAACAGGAGCAATGCTTATTGAAATTGTAGAAACTGAAGAGATAGCTGCATGTAATGCTCAGTAATTGATGGAACAAAAGCAATATAAGCACAAATTGTTGAATGCAAACACACATACATTCCCCCCCTTCCCCGCCCCCAATTGCCTGTGTATCATAAAGGTCACCACAGGCTTTTTTCCACCTATTGGGATAAATGGAAGTAACGTAGAAAGATTTTATGAGTTCAGTAAAATTATGACTGCACTCAACATTAAATTTACAGGGAAATTAAAACAGTTACCTTTCTCATGTGCACTTCCCCATCCTGTTATATAACATAGAGTACCATTACCTAGAAAAAGAGGACTTGGAGGTAAGCAGATAGGCTGGATATAATCATTAAATATGATAGGATTTTGTAATTTGAATAATGCAATATCATTGTCATACGTTTCCCGCTTGAAATGAGAATGGATTATAATTGCTTTGATTTGTCTCGCTCTAGTGTAATACTGATGCTGATAAAGATGATTTAAGCCAAATACAGCTCTCCAAAACTCTGGACTCCTAGGAGAGGGAGAAATGATATACGGTATTGAAGATAATATTTATTATAGAATTATGACTTCAGTACTATTTAAGAATTGTCATGGCATCTGTTCTGGGCAAAACTACTAAGCTTCTTACCAGATCAAAATCAGAATCAGTAATCCTATGTAGAACCAGAACTTTGATTATTGATAGAAAACCTGCCTTTACTATATATATCTAGTAGAAGATTTAGTCATAAGTGCAATCTGGTTTCAAATAAGACAAGTACAATCAGATCATAATTGGTAGGGTTAAACTATCAGATCCAGTCTGTGCAAATCTGATCAGAAGTTTTTCTAGAATACCTTTATATTTCCTATGCTTGTCTGGATTTCTGCAGTGTTGACCAAGTATCCCCAATATAAATTAATTATATTAAAACAACTTTCCCAAAAGCGTTTAAAAATGATCAGAAGAGGTCTTGGAATTGGACCTCAGTAATTCTACTCAAAACACTTGACAGTACAAAATTTTCTTTAAATCTGTTGGTGATTTATCAAAAACTGACCATAATAATAGTGCTACATTCTTAAATTTGCACTAAAAAGTGCATATGAGGTATCCTCAGATTGGTAGATAGTAATGTCTCTACTAGTAATGATAATTAATTAAACATTTTGGTTGAAGGTTTTGATGAATTTGGAAAAATACCACATTTGATCATTCTCTTGCCCAATTCCCCCAACCTTTATTAAATTGTACAAGATAGAAATGCTATTGTATTAACTCAGATTTTGTGTACCAAATCACAGGAAAACTACATTTTATTTTTCAATTCACAATTCAGGTAGTTCTCACTTAACAACAACTGAACTCAGAATTCTGTTCATAAGTCATTGCGATCATTAAGTGGGTCACCATGTAACTGATTCAGTTTTACAACCACTTTTATGATGGTTGTCAGTCATGCAGTCATTAAGAGAATTATGTGGTCATTTAGTGAATCATGTCATTAAGCAAGTCCATTCTCTCTCTCTTTTTTTTTTTTGCTGAAAACTAATTAAAAATGAAAGAAATCAGCCAAAAAAAAAAAAAAAAGGATTTGAGGGAGATAAGGGCTTTCTCCATTGCTACTGTCAGACCACTTGCTGGTGAGTTTCCAATTCTCTGGTTCAGACAAATATTCCTTTCTCTTAGCTACTAATTTGTGGAATATTTTTGGTTGGCTGATTTCTCCTTTAAAGATAACATACACCCAGCTAGCTTTGACTTACCTTGAAATGTAAGCAATTTAGGAAATCTCAAGCCTGTAGGTCACACTGACAAGCCATCCCCCCAAAAAAAATCTCAAAAAAAGGACAAAACTAGTTCTATGTTATTGCCAAGAATATTATCTGGATTTATAATTACCTGTAATTATAAAAGGTCACACTCAGCTTGAGGTACACTTAATCATTTTCTCTTTCCAATATCCATTTTCTCTTTAAATATCATATATTGGTTGCCAAATTTCCTTTTCCAAAGTTTTATAGATGCTGCCAATTCCAAAATGAAAATCTGCCTCATTATCTGCTTTACTGTCTATTATAGACACCTATAATATCTATCCTTAGTAAAGCTGCTAGGTCCTTAATGAGCCTAATGAGCACTTAGTGGCATTTTTGCTATTAGATTGCTAACCTCCAGTGCATGGTTTCTTTTATTATGATAACCTTGTTAGGAAGGACCAATGAAAGACATGGCAACTAATGGATTTGATCATTTTATGGGACTGCCACACTGAAGACAGCTCTGCAAAAAGCAGAGCTGACAATTGCAGCGGAATAAAGAGTCAGCAAGTAGACTGCAATAACTCCTCTGGACAAGGAGATCACCCATAAGTGCTCCAGTCAGCTGCTTCTTGCAGGACGATCACAAGATAGCAGTCTCTAGTGGGTTTAGAGCTCTGAGAGACCAGTGAATAACCATCTTGTTCAAACATGTTGGCACCTTTGAAATGATACCAACTTTACCTATTTCCTTTTCTATTCACTTTCAGAAATTGCTTGTTAGTGGCTTTTTAGCTGTTAGGAATATTAATAAGTTTTCTAGCACTTGGGAGAGTTTTCTTCAGTCCTTAACAAAAGAAGTTTTAACTACAAGTTTATTAACTTAATTTTTTTCCAATAAGCAACAGGCTGATTAAAACTTTGCTTTTAAAAAGGTACAATTGGACTAAGGGGCCAGATAAATTTGAAATAAAATCTGTGAGTTAATTTTAAATAATTTTAAATTCTTTCCATGGAAAAATGCCTATTTATTACTTTTTGTAAAAAAAAATAAGATTTAAAAATTGGAAACTAAAGAGAACTAAAAATTACAATTAAAGGAAAAGAATATTCAATTTTGATTTACAATGAAGCAACATTGGACATATTGAAAAATATTTTTGATCAATGGGCCCAGAAGTTAATTTTAAGTGTCTGCCTCTATAGATAGATAAAAAGATCCTATTGAAGACAAGCAAGTATTACCTGACATGATTGAGACAGATGTGAAAATAGAATTAACAGACTATGAGAATGACATAGAAGATTTTACATTGGATATACAAAAGAAGCTGGTTTATATATTAATAATTAAAAGGGATATTTACAATCCCTTTTTATTGTAAATAAAAGGGATATTTATAAAAAAACAAAGAGAGCGACCAGAATAATTTCCTATATGGGATTTACAAAAGGGGCTTATCGAAGGTTTGAAGAATTTTATGAGAAGGGACAAAGAAGAAATTAAAAGAAATCAAGTTCTACATTAGTTGGAGGAGCTAAGTAAAAGTGAGGAAGAAGTAAAAGAAAGTTGGTTTATTTGACTAAGTTTAAAATATATGTTTTTATGCTATGTATGTTGTTTATCATATGAACATATGATAGATATGTTATTTCTGATAACTCTTGATGGACTTTTGCTGACATTAGAATTGAAATGACTTGAGATGACAAGGTTGTAAAGATTTAGTTAAGTTAAGAGATGGGATATGGAAAGAAGAGATCATTTATTGTATTTTAAGAGAAGATGCTAAGTTATAAATATTGTTTATAATTGTGAGGAAGGTGAAATCACTATATATTTCTTTTTTTCCACAATATTATTTTTTCTTCGCTTTCTAATGTCTTTCAATTTTTTTCTGTACCTTCTACTCTTTCTTTTTAATCTTCTACTTTTTCGGTTTGCATTAGTTTTATTTTAATTATAAATTTTAATAAAATTACTGTATAAATCATTTTATACAATAATTTTATACAATAGATATTTTCTGTTAACTTGTGAAGCTTAATTTGATTTTGGTTTTGAGTGTTGCTTCATATAAATCTTATGAATGGTAATGACCTATGGTAAGGGACACACCTAAAAATCTGATTTGATTGGCATGGAATTTATTTTTTAAAACATATTTCCATGACCTTAAATAAATAAATGTGAGAAAATAAGCTACCTTTCTAAGTTATAAAGTCAAAGGTTGCCTATATACACAAGTTCATCATTGTTTTCTGCACAACCAATCCTGTTACGTTGTTAATTTAGTATACTTTACTAAGTGGAATATTTCATCTTGCCCCAAATAAAACTGTACATTTCTAATAGTATTTTTCTTGCTTGATAAATCAATTCAGGAGGAAAAATATTCATAAAAATGTACAAATATTTTCAAATCAAACAATTTTACCTCACTTTTTTAAAATCTAAAATTAACTGAAAAATTTTAAAATTAAAAGATACATACTTCCATTTTCTAATGCAGTGTGCTGCTGTCAGCAATGAGTTGTTAGTAATTACTACTCCACCACAAATATGATGGTATCCTACACCAAAGTGGTAAACTTGAAGACTAACTTGCCATGGCCATGCTCCAAGTGGAGCATCATGTCCTCCTACAATCCGATTGCCTGATGCCGTCTCATCCATAGCAGGCCTTGTTCCACATTCTAGAAAACAAAGCACAAATACTAATTAAATGTAATATTTGTAAGTAGTCCATAAAACACACTGCAGTTAGCATTAAAACAGATCCTGGAAGCAACTTCAAATTAGAATATAATTTGAGAGTCCATAGTCTTCTTGTATATTATTTCTAAACACTGACCATGCAGAAATTATTAATTTAGAATTTTTTCAGCCTTCCTTCCTTCCTTCCTCCCTCCCGCTAATATTTTGTCTAGTAAAGATAATTTTGTGATACTTTATAATGCTGCTCTAATATAATTAGTGTTAATATGGATTGCTTTGATTTTGTCATGCATGGCCATCTTTATATTTGTCTAAAACCAACTCTTCTTTCAAGTTCCTTCTCTTTGTTAAATTTGCAACAATTATGAACACATGAATGTCTAATTTTCTTAGAATAGAGCTTAGAGCATTCTATAGGGGATATTCTCCATTTTGTTCTGGAGGCAGGACTGGAAAAAATTCTATAGTTCCTTTGTATGAGAAGAAATATTTCCTATCTCTGTTCTGACTTTGTCTTATTCTGGAGTTTAGTGGCTCTACTAGAAATTCCTTCAATTTTAACAGACCTCCATTTCAATTTTTTTCTTTTTTCCCCCCTTTCCTTTTCCTTTACCTTATCTCCCACAAATTCACTAAAACTTCCTACATAACTATGACATTAATGGACACTAATTTGCTACCCATTGATATGTCAGAGTCACTCTCCAACAGTTGGGGCTGAGCAATGGGTCCAACCTCTAGTGATTCATCAGTGTGCTTCCTTATTTCCCTATGTATTTACCTAGAGAAACTGATCAATGCTGCAGCTGCTGAGTTGCAAATTACTACCCATGTAAACTTCACAGCCACAAAATCTCTCTGAAGGAGATGGATGGTTTCGAAATTTAATAAATAAATACAAAATAAATGAAAGGGAAAGCCCAACAATCTAGTTACTAAAGAAGACAGAAACTGATGGCATAAGCACCCAATCTTTTAACCCAATCCCTCTCACTACTCTTCACTAAAAAAAATTAACAATCTCCAGTCTCAATTGGTTCCATCCGGTAATTCCTTCCAAAAGGGATGGGATTCAAGTTGAGCAATAGTCTACATGGTCAGGCCACAATGAATAATCATGAGGACCAGAATAGTATTGGACTCCTCCTCTGCCAGCGAAAACTGGAACTCCGTTTTCACTGGCAGAGGCACCGCAGGCCGGTCCTTCGCTGTTTCCAGGGTGGCCCCGTGGTCCAGATCTAAGCACCCCACAGGCTGGATCTGGACCCCCGGGCCTTGAGTTTGACACCCCTGCAGTAGACTTAGCACCAATGGCCTCTGTGACTACCTCAGTCAAAGTATAAATAATGCAGCAAAAATGTTCTAACTATTAATCTGGGCAGTGTCCAGTAGTATGCTGGACCATGTGTCTGAGATAAGTGTGACTGATGAACTGCAACACAGATTTTAAACTCAAGCTGATTCCAATACAATAGAAGTAATGAGTGGAACCTGTCAAAGACAGATCCAACCTAGAAGTAAGAAGAAATTTTCTGATAATGAGAGGAATTAATCAGTGGAATAGTTTGCCTCCTGGAGTTGTGGATGCTTTTTCACTGAAGATTTTCAAGAACAGATCAGACAACCATTTGATTGATAAGGCTTGTGCCTTCAGCTGGGGGTTGAATTAGAAGACTCCAAGGTTACTTCCAGCTTTCTGATTCTATGAAGGTCCAACTTAAGTTAAAAAAGAAAGCCAGCCATTATATATTCCTGAACATATATCCACCATTTTCAATAAGAACACCAGAAATCCTGAATCTCATTGAAAGGAAATGAGAGGAATTGAGGAATAAATTTAAGGAGGTATTCAAATCAAATCAAATCAAATTTACTTTATTTGATTTGATTTGAGGAGGCATTAAGGATGAAAGTGAAAAGAGACATCCAAAGATGAAAAAAACTTCTTTGTTCAAACGTAAGCTATTAATGCACTGAGATTTGTGAAGTCCCAATGGATCTTATGCAACTTAAAAATTGCAACATTTGATTCCATAGCTATTACTTAAGGAATAAAACTATTAAAACTGCTATGTTAAATGTATAAAACTCTTACATTCCAAAAGCCATGGACGATTGGTCAACTACACTAACGTAGCTAAAAGTTGTAAGTGCATTGATAAAATTGTTGGTGGTTGCATTGAGCTAGAATGCAAACAACTGTATTAGAAAAGAAGAACATTAGATACATGTACTGATGGGCTGTCTGCTAAAATAAAGCCAGGTCATGGCACACATTTGAAAATAAATCAAGAAGCCTGTAATTGTGGAGTCTGTCTGGCAAGAACAAAGAATGCTTATCCACAGGAAATATGCATGTGTAAAGCTTGTAACAATTCTGGGTAGTTAGAAAGCTGCTAAAAGTAACAAAGTTAGGCAACTTGCAGACTTCAACTAAAAGTTAGGAATAGAGATGGCTTGTAACAAATAAAATGGGTATTAAATAACTCCTGGGACATTCATTAGCCAAGGCTTAGGAATAGGGACAGCTAGAGACCAATAGAACAAATTATAGAATTATTACTAAAATGTTTATTAGATGATATCTCTTATTATCCCGCCTTGTCCCGCCGCCTTCTTTAGTTAAAATGTATACAGCTTTCTTAATCCTTTGTTCTTGGCTCTCTTGGCATTTAGACCAGAAGCCCTTTTCCTTGGGGTACCCCAATAAAAAGGAATCAAAACCTGTACCTTGTATCTGGTGTCCTTCATTGGCCTCGGCACCAGGCTCAGACCCAAATTGGGGACAACCATCAAAAGCAAAAGTATATATTCAAGATGTGCTGAAGGAAAAGTAACTACAGGTAATCCTCGATTTATGACCACAATCGAGCCCCAAATTTCTGTTGCTAAGTAAAACATTTGTTAAGTGAATTTTGCCCCATTTTACATCCTTTCTTGCCACAGTTAGGTGAATCAATGCAGTTATTAAGTTAGTAACACAGTAATTAAGTGAATCTGGCTTCCCCATTGGCTTTGCTTGTAAGAAGGTCGCAAAAGGTGATCACATGATGCTGGGAAACTACAACCATCATAAATAAGAGTCTATTGCCAAATGTCCAAATTTTGATCATGTGACCATGGCAATGCTGCAACAGTCATAAGTGTGAAAAACAGTCATAAATCAATTTCTTCAGTGCCGTTCTAACTTTGAACAGTCACCAAATGAACTATGGTAAGGTGAGGACTACCTATAAAAGCCTAACAGAATACAAAAATATACAATATCACTGAAGAAACAAAAGGCAGATGCTTAGGATGTGAATTTGCAAATACAAACAGCTGTCATGGAGCCAAAACATAAGCATCTGACAACTAAGCTGCTTCAATGCAATCAAATTTCAGAAAGACTAATCTCAGGGTACTTATATGGTTTAATAAAAATAATATTCTTGACGTCAAATGAGACCTCCTGAACCAAAATAAGACAATTAACCAACAGATCCATTAGATCAATAAGGGTTTCCAAATGCACAACCTATGATTCATTCTATAATTTCAAAAGTAGAAACCGGTAGAATTTTAAAGGGAATTCAGATCCAGGATGGGCAACTTAGCCTAACAGAGAAACTGCTACATTTGTTGGCATCAAAAAGAAAAAAAACCCTCTTCCAATTTGTTCTCAATGAATTTTTCCTGATGCTACAACATCCAAACTCCGTACATATTATACTGAAGGACGAAAAAAACTTATACAAATATTATAGAAACCGACTGAAGCAGTTTCCACCACAGAGATTGTTGCTTCCGCTCAGGTTTTGAATAACACTGTAATCTAAACTGAACTGCCCAATATGCTAGGAAGTTTCTCGCCAGAACAGCAGGAAAGAGATTTCAGACTAAAGATATTCTTAGGATCGAGTCCCAAAGGTGCTTTTTCAGGAGGCAACAGGATAGTGAAGAATGGAAACACTTCTCTTCCATGAAACTTCTTCAGCTCTGACAGGATAGTGGGGAATGTAAAGATTTATATTTCTTGCAGACAGCTGGTAATTTGCATCTTTTTAGAGGGTCCTTGAAACAGTGTGTGTCCTCAGGATCACCTGAGTAGTGCTCCTGGTTCCTTTGCTCTGCAAGTTTTCTCTGGAAATCCATTCCTACTCCCACACCATTCAAAGGGTATTCATCCCAAATTGTATAGGTAAAAGTCCTTCCATTCCCCACTATCCTGTCAGAGCTGAAGAAGCTTTTTGCATGAGAAGCAAAACGTCTTCAAAGAAAAAACAGGAAAGCCCAGTTGCCGCCTGAAAAAGCACCTTTGGGACAACCATGACCTGGATATCTGAGAATCTCTACAGACTTTTAGAACCGAGTCCTATCTCGATAGCTAAGGAAGCGGTAGATCTGCCATGCTGTTAAACTGGAGGTAAATCCCGATAACCCCAATTCTCACGGATGTCCCTTTCTCTGTATTTGGAACCAGTACTTTCTAAGGAGAAAAACTATTGCATCCAATGCCTTATGGCGTTTTGGACGGCCCTACTGAAAGTCCCATACAACTGTATTTTTTTTTTTTTGCAGATAATACTTCAAATGAACCAGCCGGCTATTTGGGTTTGCCAGTTAAGAGATGCCGCAAAGTAAGAGCCGGGAGCGGACCGCGAGCGCTTTGCGCCTATACACTTTCCTGGGTACGAAGGCCTGCGGGCGTCGTACCCAGGCCTCGCCCCGTAATACCACGAGCCGGGCCTGCCTAGGCTAAGCGCCCGCCCAACCCACTACCGAAGGCGGGAGAAGGTCGCCTCACCGTTTCCATCCGTCGCAAAGGAAGAGCAGAACAACGCCAGGGGAAAAAGGGAAATGACCGCAAGTAGAGAACTCCGGTTAATCATCCTCTCAAAGAAGAAAACGTTCGCCGTCCGCAGCGGAGGAGGCTGGAAGGAGCCGGCGGGGCGGTTGAACCAGGCCTAGGGAAGTGGTTCGCGCGCCCTCCCGCAGCAGCTTCTTGGAACTCGGCCTCCGCCGACGCGTGAAAGGTCCGAGTTGCGGACCAAGGGAAGAGAAAGGGAGAGAGGTTTTAATCCGCTTCCCTGCGGTTATTTACCAATTGCCAGGATGCGATTCTAATCCCCGTGAAGTAATCGATTTATACGCCGCTTATCTTCCTGTATCTTTTTAACACGCATGAAATTGGTGAAATAGGACTTATTGAATGGAATGGACAAAGAAACAGACGACGAAGGAGACCGAGTTACAGGGGTCCATGATAGACTTTTAATCTTTGCCTGTCTGAAGCCCATTAGCTGCCATTAAGTATAGACAACTCTGAGTCACACTAGTGGTCTGATTCATGTAAGAGGATTTCTATATATTATGAAGGAAAAGGAAGCATGACAGATAGCTTTATGCATATATAAGAAAGGTAAACAAATAAATGTATTTATAGCCTAGACTTATAGTTGGTCTTTAATTCAGGAACTTGAGGCATACAGTAGTCCTCCCTCTTCCCATTTTCCTTCCCACAATCCTGCACAGTAACCTTTGGTTGGGCACTTGGGCTGAGGGGAAATGATGGCCCCAAACTCGCCCACTGAGTTTCTGTGGCTCAAGGTAAACTGGAACCTGGGTCTCCAAGTGCCAGTCTGATACCTTAACCACAACATCACACTCTCATTCCCTCTTCTGGGCAGCTGAATACGCCCATTAAACATTCTGAATAAATGTGCATATTACTGTTGGAAGAAATGTCCATCTGGGTTCAGCTCCAAGTGGGGAGAAAGACACTGGAAACATGGCGATTGCTTGAAAGAATGGTTTAATGGTGGACAGGGTCACAGACAGATTTATATCCTCTGTTGGGCTTTGGATTTGAGCTTGTATTCTGATTGGTTGTCAGACTCCCATGGGGCCATGCAGGGGTAACTTTGTAGGTTTACTTTTGAGTCCCAGGCTTGGTTGAGCCTTGCTGGATGATGCAATCTCCCCAGGTGCCATGTGGTGAGTTCTGTTGCTAAATAGGTAGAGGGCTAATCCTATCTTTGTTGGATCTTGGGTGAGGGCATTTGCTTATGAATAGACCTAGCTATTTCTTTATCTCCTAAGTGCTGATATCTCCTGTGGGCTATTGAGGAGGGTGGGGGCTATTAAGAGTGAGTCTGCTTCCTGCCTAAAAAAACATGTTTCTCCATTTCTCATCCAGGGAGGTATAATATTCTGCCTTTTTAATATTTCCTAGAATATTTCATTTTTCTAGGAGAGGAGTGGGTGCTAACTTCCTACATTACTTAGAGAAGGACAATGTAAATATGCTCTTACACCAAGATCAGTTACTAGTTATCGCCACAGGGAGATAGATGCTGGCCCAACTCTTTTGACAACAGCACAGAAGTGGCTTGCCATTATTGTCCCCAAGATATTTTTCCTGAAATATAGATCTGGCCTTGGGAAGAAAGCAGTGAACTGTTAAGGGAGAAGAACGCAGCAACTTACTCCTTTGGAGGGAAGTATGAGAAAGAAACTCAAAATAACCCCACTTTGATTTTGTTTGATATAATATGGGGCAGAAAGAAACACAAGAGGCTTTCTATCCCACAATAATAAAGAGCATTCATAGAGACTATTACAAATGAAAATACATGCTTTAATATATCAATGAGCAAATTAAAATTACAAACTACTATTAAATGTTTTTTTTTAGAAATAATGAGACTGCAAGATGATTCACTGTATTTAAAAAGCAATCTGATATATTTATAGCACATCAAAAAGCCACTTCATACAATTAGTTGGAAAATGTTCCACACCACAAGCAAACAAAGAACCTGCTGAATGGTCACAGTGTTGGTTTTGCTCATTTGTCTCCTCAGCCAGATCATGTACTTAGGCAAATTAGTGTAAATTCCTGGAAATTTTGGTCGGCCACAGCCAATACCATAGCTGGTAATTCCTACAACGTAGTATTTAGAATCTGATAAATAGCATACAAGTGGTCCACCACTATCTCCCTGAAAAATGAAAAAGATAACAATGAGTAGTAATTCATAGTATTTAAAAGCATGCATTTAGTTTTCTAGTGAACATACAGCCACATATCTTCAGTGACATTCAGGGTTCTCATTCCATTATGGCAGACTGAGAACAAAGAATTAGATCTTCCTCATGGCCACATTAATGTGCATTCCTCCTGTCCTTGAGTAAGTACGAAAGTGCTGTTCCCACGGTAGAGCCAATGTAGGCTGAGAACAGTTTGCTTTTCTTACAGATTTAATTTGCAAGAAGCAGTTCACTGAATAAGAGACATTATGTTGTTTTCATAAGTTACCTCTGATTTATTTGCATTGAAATCAGTCAACTTAACTCTCACTGATTATATTAGAATGAAAGCATTATTTGGCTGGACTCTAAAATAACAAAAGCAGTAGTAATTGATCTTTCATCTCAATTCACAAATATCCCATATAAAATTCTAAAATTGCATCAATTTTAATTTTCTTTTCTGAAATTTCCTATCTGCTGTAGTGCATCTGTAAATCGCTAATTTAGTAAACCTAACCTGATATTAAGTGAGTGTACCTGACAGGTATCAACACTTCCAGTTTCAGAGCCAGCACAGAAAGCAGTATCTGGTATTGTTCCTGCATGCCAATCATATTGATTGCAAGTGTCTAATGAAAAAATTTTTATCTGAGCTTCTTGCAATGTGAGGCTGCCTTTACCTGTAAGGAAAACAATAGCTTTTAGTTTATTTATTTCTAATTTGCAACAAGAACTATGTAAAAATGCTAAATTGGCAGTTCTTGATCTAATACTAACACACTGGTCCAATTATCCTATGCAATTGGGAGGCCGTATATTAATTGCCACAATTTTTATGTTTAGAGATGTGCCAAATTCTAATTGCCAGCTATTGTCTGCAGATTAAAACTGCAACATTGGGAGAATATCATTTATCCTTGAATATGCCTCATTATATCTTCTAATATGTAGCTTTTAATTCAGAAATCCATGTTTGAACAATACTCCGTAACACAGGAATTTTCATACCTACACACATACACAGAAAGTTGATCATGTGCATGATCTAATAATAATATATAGGGCTATGACTAAAGCAAGCAACTGAAGAACCATCTGTTATTTAGAAAACTACAAAAACGTGCAAATTTGATAGTTACACATTTTAATAGTTTTATACAATCTGTTGATTCTATGATGCAAGTAAGAACTTGCAACGGTGAACAATTCTGACATATCCTTGTGTTGGTAGCACTGTATCTGTGGATGAGGAAAAAGTGGTTTTAACACTGCCACTTCAGAAACAACAATTACTGCATTGTGCTTACTGGAAAAGATTTTTGGCTTGTTCTTTCTAGTTTCTTATAATTCATTAGAGAAAAATATTGTCATGATTGAGTAGTCCAAATGAAAAGCACACTAGTTAGTATTATGGATTTTGAAAACAATGGATGTATGTATACATTTATTATTCCTTTTGTGAGAAAAGAGAATAAACATGTTTAGGCATAGACTGAGGGATGGGATGAGGTGCTGTTAATGGTTGGCAAGAAAGCACTGTCTGGCTGACAGTTACCTGAACTTTTTTTTTTTTCTTTTACCAGAATGTACAAGTACTGATTACCTGGGGAGTCTTTGCAAGCTCTATAGATTCACAAGCATGTAAACATACATCTATTCACGGCTTGTTGATATCAATTTAGCCATTATTCCCTGGAGGGAATCAGACATCCTTTTTAATAAGGGATGTAAAATATCCTCACAACAGTTAGCACATGCAAAACCAGTTCAATAGATGTTGTAAGAATATAAGGCTTAGTTAGCAAACAGGTCTGGGGAAATACATTAATGATAAAAAACATCAGTTTTCCTTAAGTATATTTGGTATAAATGTATTCATCCAATGAAATGTCCATTGCATATCTATTACTACAGGTAATCCTCATTTAGCAACTGACTTGGATAGCAATTGTTCACAGTTACAGTGCTGATGAAATGGACGTTGACTCACCTGAACGTCCCTTTTCAGCTCGCTGCGACGACAATCTACATGGGGATTGGAGAGGGATATTAAATCTCAAACCATTTAATCAATTTATATTGTACAGGTAATTGATTTAATGGTTTGAGATTTAATATCCCTCTCCAATCCCCATGTGGATTGTCGGAGCAGCGAAGCTGGAAAGTAGTTTTGTGACCAATGCCCACATTTATAACCTTTGCAACATCTCTGAGTTGCATGTTTCCCATTAAAATCAATTAATACAGTCCTATGCCTGATCCCCTTTCTCCCCTCTCACAGAGTGGAGAGATTGACTAAACAAATTCTTTCTTCCTAGCTGCTTTTTTCCCCCAAGCACAAGGCTTTCCTGAAAAATGTTAACAAGCTCAGCTCTGTTGGCTTAATTAGTTGATTATAACCTTTTGCCAACTTGTGCTATCACCTGAAACAGAGCTGAAGGTTCTATTCTAAAAGCCTTCATACTGAAGGTTTTTTTTCCTCTTAAGCCTGGTAGCATGCTTGGCAACACAGCTCAGACTGGCACATTCTTTAATGTGTATTTCCCATTTTGTGCCTGCTTACTCTTTTGTAATCTCTTCCTCTTCAATGAATGTAAATACAAACATAAATTATCTTCTTACTAATTATTCCAGTGCCAGGGTTAGCATTCAGAATGGTGGGGGAATGGGGGAAAATGTTATAAGATTTGCCCCTTAACCCACCTTACACATGAGTCAAATTTCAGAAAACATCTCCATCATTTGGCTTCACCCAACTGTTTGGGGTCATATACTTCTGACAGTGTAAAGCAAAGGAAAACTGAAGTAAACTCATAAGCACAATTGCAGTTGTGGGCAGTGGTGAAATGTAAAATTTATTACTACCGGTTCTGTGGGTGTGGCTTGGTGGTGGTGGTGGTAATATGACTGAGTGGGCGTGGCCAACTTTTTTTTTTTTTAACTTTTAAAACCATTTTTTCTACAACCTTTTTGGCCAAAGAAGTTGTAGAAAAAATGCTTTTAAAAGCCTCTGACGATCCCAGCTGAGCCACACAATCATCAGAGGCTTTTTTTTTAACTTTTAAAAGCATTTTTTCAGCCAAAGAGGAGGTAGAAAAAATGCTTTTAAAAATAAAGCTTCTGATCGCGCGGCTCAGCTGGGCATGGGGGGGGGAAGCAGGGATTTTTGCTACCGGTTCTCCAAACCACCCGCCGCCATCGCTACTGGATCGGGCGATCCGGTCCGAACCGGGAGCATTTCACCCCTGGTTGTGGGATTTTTCTCTTAGCAACTATTTCACTTTAAGGACCTACTTGCCATACCCAGCTGTGCTTGCTAAACAAAGACGACCTGTGTGGCTAATTGCTGAGTCATGTAAAACCTTGAATTTCGGAGTCTTTTATTGCTCTATATGTAATCCATGAGTTATTTGTGTCAATCATTTGATACCTTTTAAAAAAATATTTACTGGAATCATTGGGAACAGAAATGCGAGTTTCAGTAAAATATTAATTTTAATGGCTACAATTCTAACCAAAACAATTTTCTCCATCTTGAAATGTCTACTGTTACATATTTTCAGAATTGTGAACAGATCTTCATTATTACTAAACTCCTATTTAAGCATTTTTGCAATAGTAGAATACATAATTAGAAGGAAATGTTTCTTTTCTTCCTCTTTTAAGTTACATGTCAGAATTTGAATTTTCTCTTTACTGATCCGATAATCTGACAAAACCATGTTGCTGTACATAGTCCATTTTAATCCTTTTGCCGGGTAACTCTAGGTACAATATCATCAATGTTTAATTCCAATTTATGTTCGGAATGCAATAAAAATTTGGTATTTTAACTTCTCAAATTTTATTTTCTTGATGTATTTTCAGTGCCAGTGGCTCCAGTGTCAGTAAAACTATGGGAGAGGGGAAAGACAACTTTATATTAGCCTCTTCAGTATAGTATGTTATTGTGATAGGGAACCATTGGCTATTATCATAGTTTGTGGTTCTTTAACAACACTCTGTATCCATGTATTTATTATTAAATAAAGTTTAAAAAATGACTAATCTTTAAAATAATACAAAACATACAAAATAACAAAAATACTAATATTCAGTGATGAGCCTAAAAAGAAGTGTATTAACTTCCTTTCTAAAGTTACATAGAATGGGAGCCATATGTGAATCCAGAATACTACATTTCATAGCCCTGACTGTGATACACGAAAAGACTCTCTTTAATTGTCATTCAGTATTGGTGATAAAGTCTACTATAATCCAAAGAGAATGTGACTTCCTTCACCCATGGAGGAAAAGATCTGAAAAATTGTGTGTCCTCTGGGTACCTTTTCAAGAATCATAGGACTGAAGTCTGAATCCTTGTTATTTGGGATTAAAACTGAAAATAACAACTGGAAATAATTCATAATTTGTTGATTGTCTGATACTAATAAGACCAGAATATCCTTTTGCAAAGAGAAAGAAATAGTAAAGAGGAAGAAATGGCCTGCAAACAGATCATTTTTAAAAACTGGTATCTAGGAAAGGAAGTAAGAATTATCTCATATCGTTTATATCAGATCTTCCCATCTTATTATTTTCCAGAAGTAGTACATACAACTCCCATTATATCTACCTACTATGACTCTGTGTATATATAAATTTGAAAATACTGAAATGCAAATCTGTGAATATCAAGTATGTCTGAGAATAATATCCAAAAGGAGCTCCCTCCTGATTATACTTTTCTGTGTGTAATATAAGAGAGAAACAGTTGACTGTAGTGGTTAAAAGCTCCAAGCTAGAAACTGGGAGACTGAGTTCTAGTCCCAGTTTAGGCATGAAGCCAACTAAGTGACATCGAGTCAGTCCTTCTCTCTCAGCCCTAGAAATAAGACAACCACAAGCCACTTCTGAAAATATAGTTGCCAAGAAAACTGCATGGATTTGTCAGGACGATTTGAAGATTCCCCTCCCCCATGAGAAAAATATTATTCTCAGTGCAAATAAACTTTCTGAGATCACTAAACTCATTTTCACTTTTAACAATAGGTTACTTTAAAAGAAAAGTAAAACACTTACCTTTTTCTTTTTTCATTCCCCATCCACTTACAAAACATTCCATATCAGAAGTCAGGGCAAGAGTAATGTTAGGCAAGCAGGCGGGCTGAACATAGTCATTAAATGTGACATATTTGCTTAGTCGAAACACAGCAATATCATCATCATAACCTTTTGAGTGATAGAAATAATGGATCTTGATGGCTTTTATACGTCTTTTTATAGTGTATGTTTTATGTTTGAAAAGATGATGCAAGCCAATCACAGCCCTCCACCTCTCTGGACGCCTAGGAGAAAATAAAGTATTTTTAAAAATTAGTAATTATTATGTAAATGTAATTTCAGAGAGATGAAATTGTTTATTTCAAAATGTGTGCATGGCTAATAAGCATGGAGCCAGGTTTTATTCAGATGATGACAAAATGGCACTGTTATAGAAAATACAATCAGTTTAGTCATTTAGACTGATCTAAAAATGTAGCATTTGCAAAATCAGATTCAAACCATTTATTGCAATATTCCTAATTCAAGAATTCTAAAATAATGCATCTGAAATTTATTATTTAAATAGATTTTATATAGCCAACTATCTCACAACAGTGACTCTAGGCAATGAACAAAAGATTATAAACCAAAGCAACCAAAGACCATCAATATAACACATGCCCAAGATCTAAGAACATATATTCACAATTAGTTTAAAAAATACCCACCAACCCACTCAACAGCAGAGATTGCTTAGCATTCTGGCCCCAATGCCTAAGGGAACAACCAGGTTTAACTGCCTTGTGGAAGATGAATAGAGTGGGGTCCAACTGGATCTCCAGAGAGATGTGCTCTACAGGGCAGATACTATTATAGACAGAGCACAACCCTGGCTCCCATGACACTGCTCAGTAGAAGGAGTCAGCGCATGTCCACCCTGTTAGTTCTGGTAGGGCAATTGGCCCTGTGCCATGTGAAACTTTATAGGTAGAAACCAGCATTTTGAATTATACATTGAAGCTTCTTGAAAGCCAGTGCAATTCACACTGCAGCAGTATTGTGCAAACTAAAATGCCTAAAACTGCTCATGTCACTGTATTTTACACATTCTGGTCAAATATTGAATGCGCTTGAAAGGTAGTTCCATGTAGAGTGCCTTACAGTAATCCAAACAGTAGGTAGATCTGAGTTTCTGTAAATAGGGCCTCCCAATCCAGAAAAGGGCTCAATTGGTACATGAGATGAACCTATCCAAAGAGCCTTCTTGGTCACATCTGCCACATGCTCTTTGAAAAGGAATCAGAGTGCAAGAGGATTCCCAAACTGTTCACTAGTTCCGTCTGTAGGAGTGCAAATAGAGTGAAAATATTTGGATCCAATGGCTCCAATACCCACAAATCAGAGCTGAAACCTGTTCTTTCCCATCCAGACTCCAAAGCTTCCAGACACTGAAAGAACTCCAGTGGCATCACTTATCAATCCAAGGCAGAAAAGTATAGTTGGATATCATCAACATTCTGATGAAGCCTCATGTTGATGGATAACCCCAGTAAAACTGCATTTTAACATGTAGATGTTAAAACAGGAATGGAGAGACTGTACCCTGAAGGAACTCCACAAAGCAAGAGCCTCAGTCTTTACTTTTCCCCATCAGCATTGACTGGAACTAGCCCTGGAGAAAGTAGAACATCAACACAGTGCATCCCTGATCCAAAGCTCCTGAGCTGTTCCTGAAGGAAACCATGGTTGATAGCACTGAAGATTGTTGAGAAATCAGTAAGGGCCAGGATATATTCATGACCCATCAGAGGCAATTAATAGGCATATCCAATACCATCCCAGTGCTTCAACAAGTCTGAATCCTGAGTGAAAAGATAATTTCCTTCCTTCATCCTGAGCTGCAATGCAATTGCATTCTCTGAAAAGATAAAGTTGGAGATTGGATTAAATTTGTCCAGTTCCTTTGGGTCCAGCATGGGCTTCTTGAGAAAAGGGTACACTGCTTTCAAGATCAGCAGAACTACTCCATCTCGTAAAGAAGCATTAACTACCAGATGGACCCAACCACATCATCTCCCAGAAGGCCTTAACCAGCCATGAGAGACATATATATCTAAAACACAGATAGCCAAATTCATAGCTCTGAGGATCCTGTTCATTTCATCAGGCTAACAGTTCAAACTCTTCCCAGCTAATCAGTTAAGACTATGCTCAGGCAACTTCATAGGACCTATGCAGTTCTACCTTCTCCAATAGATGCCAAGAGCATTCCCAGAGCAGCCTTGTAAATATTCCCCCGGTTCCTCCTTGTTCATGACAGGCTGGGCAACCTTAAAAAGTGCCACTGATCAACTTTTTGTGACATCAACAAGGGTGGAAAATACATTTTGCTACTTTTACTATTACCAGGTAGGAAATGTATGCAGAGAGAGTTGGGGCCAGGGGAACTGCCAGAACTTAGTCTAATTTTATAATTCCCAAGGAGACTCTGTGCAGATGCAGAATCAATATGTATAGGAATAAAGACATTAGAACGACAATACCAAATATTTTCTTTTAACTTTGGAATTGTCTTAAAAGTTTGTATCATACTCAGTTCACCTTTAAAATCGACCCTGGTTATTTAAATTATTAAGTCCTGTTTCTTCTCCTTTCTCACCACACATGAGCATGAAGTGAGATACAGTGTATTTGTTTCATAAATATGAATTCCTTCTAGACAGATCTTACTGTATTTTCTTTCCATATTATACTCGTAACATGATAGGAATTTATCATAACTAATTGTGGCCAACATAAGATAATACACATTTGACCCTATCTTTACTTCAGAGCCGATGATATGCAATCTGAAGATGGAAGTCATTAATATCTGTCTTTTGCCATAATTAGATCACTTCCTCATCAAACTGCAGCTCACAGATGCTCTGTATCCTTATAAGGATGGCAAACTTGTTAGGATTGTCTTGCCAGGCAACTAACAGATCAAGGGTTCCAGAAGAGTTTAGAGGATTTTCGTGGCAATTTGGCAAGCAATAACATTATGGACATAGTTGATAAATGAAAAATAGGCAAGCAGAGTACCCGAGGAGATTGCTCCAATACAGCTTCTGCCTAGTCATCAATTCCTGGCAATTCCTTCGTTTAGTTAGGTACACAGACAAATGAAGCAACTGAAAAGATAGCTAGAGCAATGGTTCCTCCTTCCTCACACACACACACACGCACACACTGCAGAAAACCAAAAAAATACAGGTAGTCTTCAACTTACGACCACAATTAAGCCCAAAATTTCTGTGGTTAAGTGAGTTTTGTTCCATTCTACAACTTTTCTTGCCATAGTTGTTAAGTGAGTCACTGCAGTTGATAAATTAGTAATCTGGTGGTTAAATGAACCTGACTTCCCCATTGACTCTGCTTGAGAGAAGGCTGCAAAAGGTGATCACATGACCTTAGGACACAGCAAGAGTCATAAATATGAACCAGTTGCCCAGCACCTGAATTTTGATCATATGATCATGGGGATGCTGCAAAGATCGTGACTGAAAAAATGATCATAAGTTACATTTTTCAGTGCTGTTGTAATTTTGAACAGTCACTAAACAAACTGTTGTAAGTTGAGGACTACATGTCATTATGACTAAGTATAAGCTTAGGTTTCAGGTTACACAATGGCAATAACAGTAACACAATTCCTACCCCCCTCTTGTGCTTATTGTATCCACAGATTCTCGTCTAGTAGTCTGTTCAGAGTAACAAAAGATCCTTTTAGGGAAGGATGGGTGGGACAGAGTAACACTATACATGCCAAGATAATATATGCCAAAGTAATTGTGCTGGACAGAGTCTATAGTGGACAAAGGCTGTAGTGGAGAACAAGACAGAAATAATAATTTCTGTATAATAATCTGGGATTTTTTGAGTTTCTAGAATGCAATTCTGCCACATGCAGTCTTGATCCATGCATTCCTCTGGATAGCCAGGTGGAGTGTGAATGGCTGTATCTGAGAGATACTCAATGTTTCTTTGGAATAGCACATACTACTGCACTATCTATAGACCTCTTGGTGGCCTTCAGTACCATCAACCATGATAACCTTCTGAACTGCCTTTAAGAAATAGCAGCTTGGGGCACATTCGGTGGTGGTTACATTGTTACCTAAGTGGGCACTATTAGTCAATGATTAGGGGAGGCAGTGTTCCAGCCCTTGGGACACTATGTTATTTAACAGCTACATGAAACTTGTGAGGTAGGTCAACCATCAGTTCAAGATGAGGTGTCATAAATAAAGTGATAATAACCCATTTGGTATTCTGGGCCAATCTGGAGATGCCACAAAGTCCTGAAGCAGTGTCTGGAGGTTGTAAGAGTCTAGCTGGGGAGGGGGGGGGAGATCTGATTAAAATCAGATTAAATCCTACCAAGATGAAATTGCTATTCATATATAAACATCAGTAAACATCAAAGCAGTTAGTCTGGACAGGGTTGTACTCCTGAAATAACTGTTTATGACTCATGACTCTTTGTGGGTGCTTGGCTGAGTCTGCCCATCTTTGACTAGTGCATCAGTTAAAATCCTATCTTGATCAGAATGATATGAAAAATCATGCCCAGTATTAGTTATGGTATATATGTTTTAGTTTTATTGTTCACTGCCCAGAGTCTATATGGATTTGGTAATAAATAACAACCTGAGTTAGTTTGAAAAACCTTTGTGGCTTACACAGAAATCTAAAAAACTATAAAGCCATAATATTCTTAGTATCTATATACTCCTGAAATGCCTATCTTAAATGAAGCTTATCTTCACATACATTTTTACAAATAGTGCTTTAAAAATATTACTGCAGATACTTGTGGAGAAGCCAAAAATCTTAGATGCCAAAATGCACCTAAAAATTACATTCAGCTTATCCACAGATGGCTTTTATGTGGGCATATGCAGTAATAACTTTTCAAAAGCACCCATATATCCTGTAATATACCTACAGATAAGTCCATTGGTGTATAAATAGATAATGGAATTTTTAACCAAACACCATGAAAAATGTGGGTTGGCTCATTGGTGGATGGTGCATTTTTCATGGTATTTTGGTTAAAAATTTAAGAGTCAACTTATTTACAAGTACATACAATATTATTGTGACCACACTCTTTAAAAAATAAAAAAGCCTTGATCATGCAGATAAAAACAACACATCAATTTTATAGGCATAGCATTATTAACAAAATCTTTCCTTCCTAGTAGCTACAATATTTTGCTTGCTTTTAGCTTTTATTTACAGGTTTCTCTCTCATCTCTCTCTCTCTTATCTCTCTCATCTCATCTCTCTCTATCTTTCCTGTTCTCTACCTAAGATTACTTATCTTATTCATACAGATATTTTTCCTTGATTAGAAAGCAACACAAAAACGTGCTAGAATACTTTCATTGCTCACATTGCTGAGTCCTATTCTTTTTTCAGGAATAAGAACAGCAAGGGGGTATTGTTATCACCAAACTAAGATGGAGCAGCTTAAAAAAAGTGCTAGCAGGAAAAGCATCCATAATTCACTCCCTCAATTGGAGGGAGGCAAAGTTTGATAGATGACTGGATACCCATTTTTCAAAATCCAATCTCTTGATAGTAGAGGAAAGAAGCAAACAAGCAAAGAGCTTGGAAGCCTCTCTGACTCCCTTTAAGATCCAGCTTCTGTTGTGACTGTTTCTGCTTTAGCCAATTTTTTTCAACTCCTCAAGGCAAAAAGCTGCAGAAAGATTTCCTGTGCTTGCTTGCTTGCTTCCTTCTACTCTTCAGCCTGGAGTCAAGGTAAGGCTTTTAAAAGGAACAGAGATTGAGGGCAGAGGTAGAGAGCTTAGTTTTAGCACCTAATTGGGAGGGGGAGAAAGATCAACAAGTCTAACCTTCCCAGCTTTTTTTGTTTTTGTTTTATTGAAAAAATGTGGCTTTCTGGGGGAGGGAGGAAGTGGTTAAAGCAAGGGAAAGGTTTTGGGATGCTTGTCCTACAGCTGCTGCCTTTGCATGAGGGGCTGGCTTCTCAAAGTGTAGCAAGAGCCAGAAGGGAGTTTGGAGTCTCCCAACAGTCATCTGATTGGGGCAGACAGTTCTGCAAGCAACTGCTATTTCCACAAGGAACTGTCCGAGTGCTGAAAATGATAGCCATTTCCAGGAGGCATGGGAAGCAGGCACAAGTGGTCAGGGTCCTGGTGGGGAGGGATGGGGGGAGAGGCGGAGGTGGTTGGTTGTAAGGGCAAATGACCTCAGAGGTACTGTAACTGTCATAACTTTGAAATGGGATCATATGTAGTTTTGAGATGTCTGTTTAACTTTGGACAGTTAGAGTCCTGTCATATCTTGAGGACTACCTGCATCTGATACACAGGATAGGACAATTCAGAAGGGCATTCCCTCCCTTCCCATGGGTCAGATACTGCAGCTTAATCACAGTACAGTGAATACTTTCTTGTAAAGTGGGAGAGGCTTTCCTGCTTTCCTGGAAACTATCCACCCATCCTGTGATCTCCACTGAGAGTACAAAATCTATTTAAAATAGTTCTTCCCATTTTTTTCTACCAAAACATGTGACAGAAAGGAGGGCATATGTTAAAGTGGAATCTGCCTCTTCTCCACAACATGATAGGTTTCAGATAACTTGGGAGGTATCAGCTAATGAAGTGAAATCTGTTTTTTAGGCAAGTTGTTAAGTGCTGTTTACCATGAGTCATCCTTGCCACTCTGAGATTGGAGATTTAATTGGAGAAAGGATCTTTCACCACCATTTCTCTTGGGATCCTTGTAAGCCCCAGCAGCCTGAGTCTAGCAGGGGTGGCAAGAGAAATCAGGAAAGATTGTTCTTTGCTTTAAGGGGAGAGTTCAGCTTTAATGAACCAGACTCTCTTATTCCTAAAAGTAGAATGCCTCTGAAAAATAATACTCAGCAAAGGGAATGGGGTGCATCCAGATTAATACAGGGGTGGGCTGCTAACGTTATGGCTGGTTTGGAGAACCTCTAAATCCCACCCCTGGCTGGCCTCACCCACCCACCTCTTCCCCCCTCCCCTCCCAGGAGTCTCCACGCTGCCTATTTTGGATGCAAAGTAAGTGCAGGGCCTGCGCGGAGGCTCAGGTAGGGGGAAAAACGGGCCTCCCGGAAGTTCTGGAAGGCCGGAAACAGGCCCTCTTGGGAGGGTCTCCAGAGCCCGGGGAAGGCAGTTTTCACCCTCCCAGAGGCTCGAGGAAAATCTCCAGAGCCCTGGGAAGGTGAAAATGCCCCTCCCCCCAGCCATGGTGCAGGCCGACTAGGCCACACCCACCATGGCCACACCCACCCAGCAACTAGGCAGAGAACCCATTGCTGAAATTTTTGAAGTCCACCCCAGGTTAATCAATGACCAATAGGAGTTTAGCCTTGCCCTGACCATCACTGTTGAAGAGGCATCCTATATTGTAGAGCAAGACATGTTCAAAGAAGAGGGAAAACACTATTTTTAAACCAGAATAGCTAATGTAAGCTGCCCCTGCAGAGGGTTAAAAGTAAAATGAAAGAAACATCTGGAGGTTATGTTCCCTAAAAAAAAAAAATTAGTTGTTACCACAGTTAGTGAGGTCTGATTTGATCTTTACTTCAGAGTTTATGGTGATAATATACAATTACAAAAATCAATATTGATATTGATGGAAGAGCTTGTCTGTTGGCTTCTGAAATCACAAAAATACATTGACTGGCTTTCTGTTACTCTTCCTGTTCCTAAAGTTAATTTCTAATCTGAGAACTCAGATGAAAATTCCAGATACTTCTCTCAATCTGGAAAACAGTTCAGATGAAGATGATTTCAAAATAGATATTTAAAAATATACATTTCTAAATTTAGCACCTATTTTTTATCCATGTATTTTTCTTACACTAAAATCTATAAAGATATAGGGATAGGTAATACATACGATTTTCCTATACAGCAGTGTGCAGCTGACAATACTGTGAGGTTATTAAGTAAAGTTCCACCACATAAATGGATAAATCCTGCACCATGATTATATACTTGAAGGCTAACTTGCCATGGCCATGCCCCTGCCTCAGATTCATTTCCACCTACAATCCGACTCCCTGATATGTCTACAGCAGGCCTTATTCCGCACTCTAGAAATAAAATCACAATTGTTAGATGTGACTTTATAAATGCAAACTTTAGGGTTTCTCTGAATAGCAATACTTTTCAGTTGGTGTTTTTTCTCATAAATCCATACAGTACATACACCTACATGCATACATAGTCAAAAAGAATCAAGAAGTTGATTTCAATAAATATTTTTAAACTATTTCTTAACATAATTACTTGCTCTATTTCAATATGATGGAAAACACTTTCTTTTCCTCCTTTTATTTTATTTCCATTTACTTACCTTGAGTGGAGATGAGAAGTGGATCTGTAAATAACTCAGTGGGAAACATTTAAAGTATATATTCTCTTCATTTTCATTTTTAAAAAATACTTGTTTTCAGGATAGAATAAAAGCTGTTCACAGAAATTAACGAAAAAGGCCTTATTAATTCATTTATACTGCAGAAAAATTACTTAGTTTGTATAGCAGGACAACTTATTGCTAATGCTTTCATGGAACATCACAAGCAGCAAAAAAATTCTGGGTGCTCTGAAACTACTGAAACTCTGGTACTTCTGAATCAGAATGAACACACATGAGTCTTTGGATTAATTTCTGGTTAAGTGAACCACTGCAGATCATTAAGTGTGAGAGTGCATGAAGTTGCAGGAATTGTGTATGGCTTGTGTAGAGAAAAGAAGAACTAAGGGGGACATGATAACAGTATTCCTAACTAAGAACAATTAACCAGTGGATCAGCTTGCCTTCAGAAGTTGTAGGTGTTTCATGACTGGGATTTTTAAGAAGAGACCGGATAGCCACTTGTTTGAAATGGTGCAAGGGATTGGTCTAGAATACTAGAAGACCTCCAAGGTCCCTTCCAGCTCTATTCTATCCTAACATGACTGTAACTTGCAACTTCCAGCCCACTTTCCCATTGACAACCAGAAGCTGGTTTTTGGTGATCATGTGATTGTGGGACACTGTGACCACTATAAACATGAGCCGGTAGCCAAGCACCCAAATTGTGTTCATATTTTTTTTAATTTGATTTATATGCCGCCCTTCTCCGGAGACTCAGGACAGCTTACAAGGCGTTAAGCAATAGCCTTCATACTTTTGTATATTTATACAAAATCAGCTTATTGTCCCCACAAACTGGGTCCTCAATTTACCTACCTTAGAAAGAATGGAAGGCTGAATCAACCTTGAGCCTGGCGAGAATCGATCTTACTTTAATTGCAGACAGCTGTTGTTAAATTACAGAGCTCTGTCTGTTGAGCTATCCAGGCTCCCTCATATGACTGTGAGGATGCTGTGACAGCTGCAACTTCAAAGACATCTCATTTTTCAGTGCCATCGTAACTTTGTACAGTTGCTTAAAATATATATATATTAAATTAGGCCCAGACTTTTCTTATTATTCATTGCACAGTCAACCAGATGTTCAGACTGAATTTTGAATTTTTATCCACCTACAGAGTCCTTCCCAGAGACCTGGTATAGGCAGATATAGATGCTTGATGGTGTTAAAGATATTGTCGCAGGAACTAAGCTGTTCTGAATAAAGCTGCTTTTGCAATCGACTGATGATTTTGTCAATGCCATTGGTGTTCAAGTAGTGCTTCAGTTGTTTTGGGATTGTATCAAAAGCACCTACTGGTACTACCTTTGCTTTCTTTTGCCAGTCATTCTATTTCTTTTTTTTTTTTGGAAAAAGTTTTTTATTTTATTTCTTATAAACATATTGTAAATGTACATTCTTTTATCCATATACACATATACATATATTTTCAAAAGAAAAAGATTTTTTAATTATATTTGGGATTGCTCTTCTACCCTTTCTTCTCCCTTATTTTACAACAATTCTTCTCCTTCTTCTCTCTTTCCCTTCCCTGCCTTCTTCTATCCTTTTCTACTTTCTTCTTTCCTCCTCTCCTTCCCCTTCCTTTCCCACTCCTCCTTTCTTCCCCCTTTTTAACCTTCTCTCCTACTCTTTTTTCCCCTCCCTTTCTTCCTCTCCTTTTCCCTTTCTTCTGTTCCTCTCTCTCCTCTCCTCCCCTCCTATTTTACTCTCTACTCCTCTCTCCATTCTTGTTCAATATTTCCCCTATTGGACAGCCCCAATTTTCTATTAATATATGCTTTCTTTTCTATTTCTTTTCTATTTTACCAATTACACATATATCATCATGATTGTACATTTATGTAGTAACATTTTTTCTTTCCCCTCCCCATACCCCTTTTCCATTTACAGTGTCATCTGAGTTTCTATTTCTTTTTTGCCTTCTCTCTCATTTACCTTTACATTGTCCAATTTATTAATCTGTCATCTTTTATTCATATTTCTTTTCTAACCATACATAAAATTGTCCCCATGTCTTGAAATACACCGATTCCTCTTTATCTTTTATTCTTAATGTTAATTTGTTCATTTCTGCGCAATCTAAAATCTTCTTTATTACTTCACCTTCTGATGGGATTTTTTCTATCTTCCAATTTTGTGCAAATACAATTCTTGCTGTTATTATGTGTATAATTAAATACGTATCTTCTTTACTATATCTTTCCGGTAAAATACCCAATAGAAAAGTTTCTGGTTTTAATTTTATATGCTGGTGTAACATTTCCTCTAACCATGTCTGTATTCTAATACAATAATTTTTTGCTTCTGTACATGACCACCACATATAATAATATGATCCTGGCAAGTGCAAACATTTCCAACATTTAGCCTTAGATTTATCCTTAAACATGTTTGCTAACCTTTCTGGTGACATATGCCATCTATAAAACATTTTATATATGTTTTCTTTATATGCAGTTACCATTGTTATTTTATAATTCCTTTTCCATAATTGTTGCCATCTAATTCTATTGTATAACCAAAATTTTTTGCCCATGTTATCATTGTCTCTTTTACTTCATCTTCTAATCTAATTTGCAATAAGTACCGTATTTATCGGCGTATAACGCGCACTGGCGTATAACACGCACCTTAATTTTAAGAGGGAAGTTTCAGGAAAAAAAGTAAATTTTAAATAAAGAACTTTGAAGCATAACAAAGGTAGTTCAAAACTTTTTAAATTAATATTTAAGCACATATAAAGATAAAGAACGTAACATGGAAGTAAAAACTACTGTTTTACCGAATAAACTTTGATATTACTGTGATTCAGGTGATTAGGGCACCTGAATCACAGCCACAGTCACAATGCACTGCACACAACTGGCTCACCCACAACGTAAAAGCAGCTGTGCTAGACCCAAAATGGCCCCTGCAACAAGCAGGAACCTCACACAGCCACAAAAAGCCGAAAAAACCAACTTTCACACTTTACACACACAAAATTCTACATACAGCTTTGTGAGATTTTGTGTGTTTGTGTAGTTAGAGTGAAACACTACAGAAACACACTAAATCTCAGAAAGCTGCACAAATATTATTTTATTTTTATTTTTATATGAAAACTAAATTTAAAACTTCCTAAACTTTAAATGTCTAAGTCTAAAAAAAGAACAACTAAAAAAACCTCCCAATTAACTATTTTTTTTAAAGCTCCCAAAGGGGAAAAAAACTTACCCAACAGAACAGGGGTCTCCAATCTTGGCAACTTTAAGACTTGTGGACTTCAACTCCCAGAATTCCTAAGTCAAGGCAGGCAGGCAGAAAGAGCTGCTCACCGATGAGCTTGATTGCAGCCAGGGATATTCAGTTGATTGCTGATGCATGGATTGCGATTGTCATGCAATCAGCAACTAAGGTAAGGAAGCCGGACCATTCGTTCTTTTACAGTACTTTTTAATACGTATAACGCGCACATGCGATTTCCACATTATTTTCAAGATGAAAAAGTGCGCGTTATACACCGATAAATACGGTAATTATACAATTTCTTAATCATTTTTCATCTGTTCCAGTCAATATCTCGTCCAGTTCTGATTTTCCCAAATTAAAACCATACTGTTTCAAGTCTTTATCCTATCTTGATTGTATTTGCAATCACGTATACCAATCTGTCTCAATCCCTTGTTTTTCTAGTTATTGTTTCTGTTTTAATTCTCCCTTCTCTGTTAAAATGTCCTTATATCTCACAATATTTTCCATGTTAATCATATTTGGATGTGTCAATGCTTCTATTGTTGAAAGTCACATTGGTATTTTCATATAATGTTTTTCTTTCACTCTCTCCCATACTGTTAACAAATCATTCCTTATACAATGTCTCTGAAAGTATCCATGTATCCTATTTTTCCCGTACCATAGAAAAGCGTGCTAACCTAGTTGCAAATCATGTCCTTCCAAAATCAATAATCTTGTATTTCTCAATACAATCCATTCTTTAACCCAAGTTAACATCGCCGCTTGGTGGTAAAGTTCCCAGTTTGGTAGGCCGAACCCTCCTCTAGTTCTAGAATCTTGGAGCAATTTAAGATTAATTCTTGCTTTTTTTCCTTGCCATATATGTTTCCACATCTTTCTTAATTTTGTATTCACTTTTGTAGATTTATAGTCTAAATCATTATTAACAATCGCATTGAAGTCTCCTCTTATACAAATATCTTCATATTCATATTCTAGTATTTTCCTGTGTAATTTTGCATAAAATTCCTCTTGATTTTCATTTGGAGCATATATCCCCACTAATAATATTTATTCTATTCAGTCATTCTATTTCTATTTGTGGGTCTTTGTATTTTGTTACCTTCTCCAGTTCTTTTTCTTCTATTCTGCTGCTACCAGATTCATCCACATCTGCTATCTAGATTTTTATTTCTTATCGACAATTGTTAAGTCTGGGGTGTTATGTAGCAGATACCTGTCTGTTTGAATTCTAAAGTTCCAGAGCACTTTAGCTTCTTCATTTTCTATTACTTTCTCTATTTTATGGTCCTATCAGTTCTTGCTTGCAGGCAAATGTTATTTCTTGCAAATCTTCCAATGCACCATTCTTGCTACTTTGTCATGCCGTTATTTGTAGTTAATCAGTGCGATCTTCTTGTTAACAGCTAACCAGCTAGTCCACTGTTTCTTTA